GTAATTAATGGCTCCTTCTGATAATTATTCTCAAACTAATTACTCTTGGCTTCCATATTCATGATATTTCATGGCCTAGTAATGCCTTTACTGCAACAAGGATCCATTCGCAAATTCAATCAGTGTATGCACTACAATAGGTACAATGGAGTTTTCTACTCTGAAATTTACAGTTTCTATATCGAAAATACATCACTCTTTAGTTGAAGAATTTAAATCTCTCGAGGTGGTTTCCTAAAGACCCTTGCTCCAATAATAGTTCACCAATGGTCCCTCTATATGATTACGTTTGCGCCAATGGTTTAATACCTTAAATTTTAATGACGACGTATAAGACAAAAGAAAAAGAGAAGCATACTGTAAGCACGCACTTAACGAGACGTGAGTAGTATTCTTCATAGAATATATCCAAAAATATGCTTCTTTGTGAATTATAATGCGCATTTCAGGGCTATATATTTTGAAATCGTTATACCAATTTTTTATTATAAATTAATTACTTTTTATTAGACATAACTCTGAGGTAAATTAAAAATTACAATGAATTACATTAATAATGCTTTCATAAAAATTATTTTTAATTATTTAACTAATAGTTCGAGAGAACGAGTTAATATTTGCTATATTTTTTATTTTATTTTTTATCAATAACCATAATAAGTATTTAATGTTGAGTTCAACTTTAATAATCAGGTAGTGTAAGGATTTACTCTTAAGCAAATAGAAGTCACCTACACGTTACTTTTAAAGTAATAATTATGATGAAAAGTTCAATTATATAATAATTTATAATAAATTAATGTGTTTTTCAATATTTTAATATTTAAATATTTAAAACAATATCTTATTTTAATATTACAAGAGAGTGAGTGTTTGTGTTTTTTTTTAGGCTCTACTAGTAGAGTGGGTAACTGAAATCTTATTTAATAGCCAACAAATAACAACGCTTTATGGGGCGCAAAGGCCCACGGAAAAAAGTGCAGTCGCCGTTTTTGGAGGGAACACGCACGTTTCAAAGTTTATTGGACCAGTCTACGATATGGGCCGTGACACGCGAAATTCAAAATGCATGCAAGGCTATTTATTCACCAAAAGAAGAGAAGATGTCATTACTCCTCTGGACCAACAAAAAGAAGATGGGATTGCTCTTAAACCCAAAAAAATGTAATTACTCAAAAGAAAAATCTTTAATTTTTTTCTTAATAATCTATCCATCTTAAAAAAATTATCAAGGGTTAAGTGAAAAGTTATTTTATTAAATGTGGTTATATTTTCTTAAAATCAAGGAATTAATGAGTTTTTTTAATAAAAAATTATACAAAACTGTAAACAATAGTTATTTTAAAATGAAACTCCTTTTTCTGTCAATTATTTTCACACTATAATGAGGAGTTTGTCATCCAATGCCAAAATAGCATTTTGCATTAGTGTGCTTGTGCGATAGATGATGAACAAATCTGTGTAAATAAACCTAATAGAAAAATACAAGACAATATCAATTTTATTGGACTAATTATCAATATGACAAAATCTTGATAACCTTTTTTTTTTTTGGTGGAAATTATCGACTAAACTAACCTAATTCAGTGAAAATATTAAACCTTTCACCTAAAGCAATGAAATGAGCTCCAAACATGTGAATTGAGTTAAATTTTATAAGATTTAAGTTTGATGTAAATTTTGAATTTAAGATCTAAATTTGATATTTATTTGATTTAAGTTTGTTTTTAAGATTTATTTTAGCCATTTTAAAAGACTGTAGATGTAAATTCATTTGAAAGTTTGTTTTATAATAAGATGTTTTAAATAAGTAAAACAAAAATCCCAAATAAGTTAATAAATATAAATTATATACAAATCAGCAGACTTGAATCTTTAAATATAATAATAATAATAATTTATTCAGTATTGTATTATTTATTTTTATTTAACTTAGAAGGAATTTTGAATAACAAAAAGTAAGTATACTTAACATAATTAGTATTGTATATTAGAATGTAAAATTTCATTAACGTTATTTCTACCTTAAAAAAGAGATTTAAAAATATTAAAATGTATCTTTAACAAATTAATCTATTAAAAATGTTTTTATTGTCATTAGCAAAAAAAATATTTTTTTTTACTGTCAACTTCAATCAGCTAAATGCTGCTACTAGGTGTCAGACCAGAGGCCTCCCATTTGGAATTTGAGCATGAGCACATCATGTGAAATCATTTTAGCCATTCATATTTTTAAAATACAGATAAAGGTCTACCATTAAACAATTATTTTTTCAAGAAAAATTCCCTTTTCATTTTCTCCATCGTAGCGGTATTTATGTCAGTTGATAAAGGCATGCATGAATTAAAGACTTGAGCAGAAGATTCACAATACAAAAGATTATTGTTATGATAAAATTGTGGTGTAAATATCACTGTTCAATCTCGTTATTGACAAAAGGCTTTCCCCCCCCCCCCCCACACTGTCACGAGTGCAATGGGTTTCAATCATCGTCTCCGTCGTTCAGTTTCCCCTTTACAGGACAGGCACCCCAAGAAGACACGGTGCCATTATCATGTGAGTTAAAGAGGTGATGGAAATGGAGTAGCCACTTCTTCATTCGTATTTGGTGAAGCGTTGATAGCTTCCATTAAAATGGAGAACAAGGACATTTCAATGATAAATGATGTCTTTAGCTATGAGCCGTTCATATGCCTTTCTAAATATACAAACGAGAGGATCTGTTTCCATATTAAATATATAGCTGTGTTAACTTAAAAATTAACTGTTAATCTAAAGCTGTGTTAACTCAAAATTTAATAAAAAAATATTTCTTTCTTTCTTAATTTATTAACAAGTTATAAAAAAAAGGTATTTAAATGCAAATGAAATAATGGAGAGAAATAACAGTTTGGCTATGCTGTCAAGCTGCCGCAACACACTTTATTTGATGCAGCACTGGACCAATAGAGACGCCTTGACTTAGTCCTAATATTCTACTACAAAGCAACAACGTTTCAGCATGTGCATGCATTTGATTCTTTGTGTGTTACCCGTGAACAACTGGTCTGACTGTTTTTTGTCTGATTTTTCATGTGGGGTGATATATGAATATGAACACACACCCTATCAATTACTTGCATTCAAAACCATATAGTAATTTGTCAGAGTTGTTGATGACAACCCAAGTTACTTTCATCTTCTAAGATAACTTACTTTCGTTGATTTTAGCTGTCGGGTTTGGTTACATTGCAAATGCTTCTCATTACATCAAACCCAATTCAAGTATAACCATTTATTTCTCTTATTTATTATTTTTCTTTCCGAATGTGATTGATCAGCGTACGCTAAAAACTGCCACCGCTTAAGAAAGAGACATATACTGAAAATAGTTAATTATTCAATTGAAACCTACGTGGCTACGCATATGAATTAAAAGATTAACACGAACTCTTGAGATCTCTCTGTGATCTGTCTGTGCCAATAATTTTTGACTTGGCCACCACTGCCGTGGATGTCCCATCTTCTTATTGAGTCTGATTGGACTTTGTCGCCTGCGCCATATGGCAATTGGCAATATTCACCTAACTTTTATGGGTTATTTGTACAATTTGGATCCCTTCCTCTGTATCCATAAAAAATATATTGTTTATTATTAAATATGTGACTAACTAATTATAAAATATTATTATTAGATATAAATTTAATAATTGGGATTTTTGTTGCGGAGACTATATTGCTGGAGATGATTGAACCCATTATTTGTCACTCTTAAGTTTGACATTTTTCTAAAAATAACAACAATGTGTATATTATATATTTTATCATTGTGTACCACTTTTCTTTTTCTTTTACTTCACAATATATGACAAATGCATTTTTTTTTTCAAGAAGAAAATGATGTATCATCATGCGTTAGGTCGAATTATTGGTTTCTTACTAGAAACATCTTTTCGAAATTTCAATTTATTTTAACGTGTGTAGGTCTATTTCATCGTTGTGTGATCCCCAATCTCCGCGTATCCTTAGAAGATAACCTTATCTTGGATACCTATTCATCCACGTTGATGTTTCTGTCTCATTTTTGTTTATCTTGTCGAGTCCGTAGTTCTTTTATCATGGAAAAAGTTTAGGGGCGACAGTTTATTCCCTTCTTAATATACAAGAAACACACCACCTATATAATCTTTAAGACCTGTGGAAAGATGCTAACTCACTTTTTAACATTATTTTAATTATTAATTAAAATATATTAAAAACATAAAATGAAAAAAAATGAGATTTATATCATTTTGATAATTTTTAATAAATAATTTAAAGTATATAAAAATATATATGAAAAGCAGTATGTAATGTCAGTCTCACTCACACAAAGTGCATATTAATGCATAACATAAACTAAAAATATTGTATAATATTTTATTTTAATAATTTATACAATATTTTGTTAAAATAATTTATAAAAATCATAAGTTAATGGTTGATAAATTTGTTTAAACAAGTCGATAATAGAAACTAACTTTTACTAAACTAGTTATTTTGAGATAAATATTATAATTCCGTTGATCTTAATCTTAATTTATATATTTAAAACTGAGTTTAAATAAAAAATATTTTTAATTGAAAAACTATATTATATTTTCTCTAATATTACAAACATATGTGTAATAAAAATTTATAATTTTTACTTGCTTAAATTCAACTTAAAAAATTTTAGGAGTTATAAAATTCTATTATATTCACATGTATATAGAATTAATTTATTTAAGTAAAAGATCCTAGATTAAAATCTTACTATATATAATTTTTTTTTCTCTAACTAAATACAACAGCTGCTAACTGGAAGCAGTGATTTTAACTTTAATTTACATTAATATAAGAAAAAATTGGTAGGTACAGTGAAAGAAAATTTAATAATAAGTGATGTGACGTAATATAATTAAAAATAATGAATGGATATTAAAATTATTTAGATGTGTAAAATCCAAGTTGTTAATTTAAATAGATGCATCCCCCTTCTCTCTCTCTCCTTATATGTATTGTGTATTGAGGGTGTCAAAACTTAACTTGATTTCACACTAGATTCCATTCCAACAATGGGTAGTTTAGCTGGTCATTTTCCTCTAATGGTTATGATAGGCTTACAAGTTCATTATGCAGCGCTTGCCATCTTCACAAGAGCTGCTCTGTTAGATGGGTTGAGTACCACGGTCTTTGTAGTTTACAGGCAAGGCATAGCCACTTTGGCTTTGGCACCTATGTTCTTTTCTTCTCAAAGGTAATAATAATTAGTTGATTCTCCCTCTCTTAAGCTTATTCTCATTCTTATTCATTCACTCATGTATATGCGTTTTTCGTTTTTTAATATCAGGAGACAATCATTCAAGACTTCATTGGGATTCAGGAGCTTCTCTTTGATGTTTGTGACCGCTCTTGTTGGGTACAGTTTGGCATAATCACTTGCGCAATTTTAATGCTTTGGTTTTTTTTTTTACAATAATAATATATAATAATGAAACTAACCCGAAGTTTATATTTTTCCCTTGCAGAGTTACAGCAAATCAGAATGCATATTTTAGAGGTTTATATTATGCATCTTCTACTGCAGCTACTGCTATGAGTAATCTGATACCTGCATTAACTTTTGTAATTGCAACGATTGTTGGGTAATGGCTCTTATCGCTAAATATATATATATATATATATATATGACATCTGCAAGTATGACAAACACAAGATTTAAATCATGAATCGCTTTTAACTAACATATAGCATGATTAACAGTATTTTACTGGGACTATGGTGATGATTTAATGCTTCGTATCTTTTTGCTGTAGTTTGTTTTGTTTACTTAACGTGGATTAACATTCCTTGTTTTTGAATGAGATAGATTTGAGAAAGTTGATCTACGAAGCTTGAGAAGCATTGCCAAAGTAATAGGGACAGTTTGTTGCGTGAGTGGAGCCTTAACCATGGCATTGGTCAAAGGACAGAAGCTGCTACACGTGGAGTTTCTTCCTTCTAAGCATCTCACTGCCAATGGAGGTGAGGATTGGCTGCTGGGTTGTCTATTGCTCTTAGCAAGTAGTGTTTTTTGGTCATGTTGGATGATACTGCAGGTAAAAATAAAAACCAGAATCTTGGATGATTCTTTTGTCCTTCAGTGAAGATCTGATTCAATCGACTTCAACTCAATAGGTACCAATTGCTTCAAGTTGCCCAGATCATTTATTATCAACCTTTTGGATGTGTCTCTTTGCAACTATACAATCAGCCATATTTGCACTGCTCTCTGAGAAGGATCTTCAATCATGGATCTTGAGTTCTCCTTTACAAATTTCATGTAGTTTATATGCAGTAAGTCACAAGCCCATCAACATCAGTTTAACAAGTATTCATTCGTTGTGCAATGTAACATTGATGTTGTTCGCAACTTGTAATTTTTATGATATAGGGAATTGGAATTGCGGTTAGCTTCTTTGTTCAATCTTGGTGCATCTCAGAAAGAGGTCCTCTATACTGTGCCATGTTCAACCCTCTAGCAACAGTCATCACAGCTTTTATAACCGCAACATTCCTAAAAGAAGAGTTATATATCGGAAGGTAATATATTTTCCTTCCTTTCATTAATATTATTATACTTTGTTCATGAAAAACTCAGAATACTAGTGCAATTATTTTATTTATTTTATATGTATGGCTAATGACATGCATAATTCATTTGCAGTTTGGTAGGGGCTATTGGAGTGATCGCTGGTTTATATATTGTGCTTTGGGGTAAAGCGAAAGAGTTTGATGAGATTAAACATGAGGCACCAAAACCAAGCTTCCAGGAAGATGAGATAAGTAATAGGGTAGATTTGGAAGCACCACTTTTGTCAGAGAAGTCTGAACATGTAGCAGATAGCAAGCTGGTACCATGATGAATAAATCAATTGAAGTTTTGGTGAAAATTTTGTCACTTAAGATTTGAAGAAACGAAAACAGGAACAAGTGGCTGCTTAAACAAATTTGGCTTGGTTTATTTCACCAAAATTTCCAATGAAGAGAACGTAAAATAAACTCAAGATCATGGCCTCGACAAATGGTAATTAAGAAAAAGTGATAGTATATATGTCTTAGGACAAAAAATAAGAACTTTCTTTCGTTCCATTATGTCTTAGGACAAAATGTAAGAATTAATTTTGTTTCGTTCCATCTCGCTTTCATGCCAGGAAAATTAGGAGTGCTGCACTCGTTTTTTCATGAATGTTATAATTTCTGTAAATTGCTTTCAATCAATTTTGTGTTTTATTATCGTTAAGTTTCAACTTCTTGTTTATTATGAGAAATTATATAAATCTATTTAAAAATAAATTAATATTGTACGCATAAAATTTACACAAACCGATCAAATCCAAGAGATTAAAATATATGAGAATATTAATAATATACTCTTTATTATTAATTAAAATTTATTGAGATTATAAGTAAGACTCATGTTCATTAAATATGAAGTGCAATTCGTTCTTGCTAAAGGAAAAAAAATAAAAATGGCACATCCTTGTTCTGTGATACAAATTTCATTCCTAGCACTGAAATTTGAAACGAATAAGAAGCTTAACAAGAGGAAGGCCTGCAAAAATAGAGTGATCGAGCATGTTGAGACAAGAGAATGGAGGGAGTGGACTCAACCATGACAAAGACCCTTGATGTGAGGACAAGTCCTGTGACGCACTAATGTGTCTGTCCTCAGCCACACTTTATGTAAATGACAAAGAAGGAAAGGCAACTGCAATAATGTCTATCTTCAGGGACGGTCCTATACAGGGATATGTGAGCGCATATTCTTCCACTCAAACTTTTTATTTTATTATTATTATTATTATTATTATTATTATGATACTGACTTGTCTTTTTTTAACACCAAACAAACTTCAACATAATTAATAGATAGATAGAGATTCATTTTTTAGTCATGTACATATAAAAAACTTGTAAGGAATTATAATATTTATGTAAATTTTCCATTTTAAAGGGGAGTGATTTTCATTTTTTAGTTGAGGAATATTCTTGATGCATACACAAATATTTTTAAGGCTTAAATACATTTTTAATTTTTATAAAAAATTAATTTTAAAATTAATTTTAATTTTTTATTATAATTTAATCCTTAACCAATTAAACAATAAAAAAATTAATTTTATTATTAATTTTTATCAATTAAGTCTAAAGTTTGTTAACAAAATTTTTATTTTAGTTAGCACGTAAGATTTTAAAATAGAGATTTAAATACATTTTTAATCAATCAATTTGTATCCCTAAGATTATTAAAGTTTTAACTTGACATTACATCTTAAGTGGTCAATATATCAATTATCGTAATTTGGATGAGATTATCCTATTCAACATACTTTATCATAATTAACACATAATATTTAAAAATAGAGAATTAAGTAAATTTTTTATTATTATAAAAACTTTTGTATATTTAAAAATAGTTCTAAATTTTTCTTGTTAGAATTCAGTTTCAAACAAACTAAGTAAATAAAATATAATTCTCCGTCATTTATTAAAAAAATGAGAAAAAAAATTAGAGACATAATTTTAAAAAATTATAATGATATATTGATTAAATTAAAAGCATATTGAATACTTGATGTATAACAGTGTTGATTTGAAACTTTGTTAACTAATTTAATACGTAACAAACATAGAGTAAAATAATAATTAATTTTTCACTTGCTTAATTTGTTAAAAAAATCTTAACAATATTTTTGTATAAACTAAATTTAAATACAACTTTGATAAGGACTAGGATTTTATTTAAATTTTTATTTTAAATATTTTTAAATTTAGGTATTGATCAAGATACAAGTTTGTCATATGTCTAACATGTTGTAGCTTAAATAACTTATAAAATTTTATTAATTAACTTATTAACAACTTAAATAACATTTTCATTCGCTTATTAGATGCTGAATTTTTAAATTATTAATATATTCTATCTTGTAATATTTTATAAATTTAAATAATGTATTACATACAAATTTTAGGTTTAAATATAAAATTATTTTCTATATTTATTCATGTTTTTATTTTTAGTTCCTCTAAACTTTTTTTTTAACGTTTTGCATCCTTAAATTAATGAAATATTTAATTTAGTCCCTCAATGAATGTAAAACAAAACAAAATAAACTTTCACGGTTTTATTTTTAATTTTTACATTTTCTCGTAATTTTATTTTTAGGTCTGAAATTTATCATTTTTTTTATAGTTTTTATTCATATTTTTGCTACTACTTACAAACAATTTTTGTTTGTGAGAAATAGAATATTTTAATTCACTACAGCGAAAAAGAATTAAAATATTTTACATAAAAGTGATAATATATTATATCTATCAATAAAGCCATATTTTATGGAATTGTTTACCACTATTCGGTAAATAATAAAAAAGTGACAATAACATGCATTAACGTATATCAACTTTTATACTTTAACGTTGACACGATATCCAGTAGCCCCGTTGTACGGAACAAGGAAAAACACAAATAAATATAATATATATAAAAGAATTACAAAGACTAACAACAAAAATACAAATAAATATATAATTTACTTTCATATTTAAGCCATGTACGACGCAGGATTAAAAAATTATAATATTATTTTGCCTGTTTCCGAAAATGCGACGAATGAGGAAAATGTGTAAAAATGGGTAGTGGACCTCGCAAGCTAAAATAGTTTTCACTCATAACTGGCTGACAACAAGCTTTTCCTTATCCAAAACACGGCCTATGAGCTCATGCTGATGCATCCATTCAATAATTCAAAATTACTATCAAAACTCAGTTTCTTTCGCCTCCACCCAAAAACAACTCAAAATTAAAATTTTGTTTAGTTGGCTCTGACGGCAGCCACAGCTCATAGTCTATCCACAGTTCGAACGGATATATATATATATAAACATTCAATTTTATTTTTATTTAAATAAAAATGAACTAGTTTATACAAAAATTTAGAAAATAATAAAATATTTTTACTCAAAAATAGTTTAAGTGAATTTTTTTAACTTTGAGCAAATTTTGTAGAATTGTTTAAACGAATTATTTTGACTGAAATGAATTTTATGCATTTAAGAATATGGAAGTTAGATGTGAAGAAAAGAGAAAACTAAGGATGGACAAAGATAAGGAGAGCAAGTGATATAAGAATGATGGTGGAGGGAGAGAATGATCAAGAGTTGAATATGAAGGAAAGAGAAAAAGATAAATGTGAGGTAGGATGAGAGTGAGAAGAAGAAGAAGAAAGAAGTTGCACATAAAGTAAAAAAAAAAAAGGAGTTGAGAGAGGAAGAGAAAAATTGAGTATGATAAAAGAAAAAAAATTAAATATAAAGTTAAAGAGGATTGGATGTCAAGGTTGAGAAAAAAGAAAAGACAAAATTGAGAGAAAATACTCAACTTTTCTTAAGTTAAAAAAATTCATTTAAACTAATTTTACATAAAATATTTTTATGATTTTTAGCATTTTCGCTCAAAGAGTTTATTTTTGTTTGAATAAAAATGGAACTGAGTGTAACTGAAGTGAATTAAAAGGTGCAGGAAAGTGTCTAAAAGTAATATCAATTAGAAATAAACATCAAGTTAAATAGCTTTAGGCCTGCAATGATCCTATCCTTAAAGATTTATTAATGAATCTATAAGTAATTATAATGACTTTTTTTTATATAAAAATTGTTTTTTTAAATATAATTATATTATATTCTGTAATAATATAAAAATATTTAAATTACAAAAACCCTCAAAATACGTTGAATTCCTGTTAATGAACCTGGATCACAAAATTAAAAAGAACTAATTTCTTAACCTAGTATTAGCAGAAGAAAGGAAGCATGCGAGGACACAGAAGAAGAAATATAAAAAAAAAAACACTTAGAATATGTTTAATTTATTTTTAAAAACTAAAAATTATTTTTAAAAAATAAATCAAATATACTTTTAATCACGTGTTAATCTCTTAATTAGTTATATCATCATTTAATACAATAAATTTAAAATATAAGTTGAAACAAAATTAAAGAGACTAAAACAAAAAATTAATAAACTATATAAACTAATTACATATTTAAGAATTTTAATTATATTAGGGATGAGTTCTGATTCCATTTTAAAATTTTTAAAATATTGTAATTACAATTCTAATTCTAAATTGTATGTCAATTTGTGTGCCTGACAGCAACCAAAAAAAATATCTGTTCTAGGCATTGTATAACTTTGTCCCTTTTAGACAATTAACACTTTGGAAATGCACCAGTTCACACATCAATATAATTTGATCGGGTAACACAAAAATCTAAAATACTTCTAGACCATTAATTAGGTAGAGGGTGAATGTTCAGATATGGACAATATCAGGTGTTCGTACAGAAGGAAATGAGGTGTGTCCAAAAGCATTATCTACTTACAGATGGTACTAGGAAAGAAAAAACTGCAAAAGAACTGTACTGAAAACAGTCCAGCATACATAGAAAAATAAAAAAGGCTGCATATAAACCATATGGCCTTGGTGCTCTACATGCTAATACTGAATCTAACGACCCTTCCAATTGTCCCTCCTGTTATTCCTGAATGCACAACAACCAATTGAATAGACAATTATGAGGAAGACCAAGACTATGATGTTCACAATAGCCACCTTCTTCCAGTCAGTCTTGAGGTTTTGGAGTAAGCCAGCCTTGCATGATTGGCAATTGAAGCACAGAATGTTGGGATCGTTATTCCAAGCATCACAGTCAGGGTTGGTGTAAGTAGCATTCTGTCCCTTAGTCCATGTAGTTGGATTCTCATAGGTAAAATGGCACTCGTCTGCAGGTTTACAACATCCAGACTGCACAAAATATCCAAAAAATGCAAATCCATAAGTGAGATAACAAAAATGAAGCTGAGACACTCAGCTACTTCAGTGCAAACTGACATCAAACATACTAAAATGGGTTCTTCAAAACAAGGAAATGGCAACAGCAATTTCAAGAATTAATTCAGATTGTTCCAATTCTAGCTAACATATTAACGGAAAAGAAGCAAATGTGGAGAACTCATCATGCTTTTCACAGTTACTGGGGTATGAATGCGGGGACATGACTGTATCAGCCAAGTGCTGCTCACTAAATAACGGCTTAGAAATCCTCCCTAGAGGCTTAGAAAAGCTGTATATACACTTGTACTGAATTTAATTCCACAGAGCTCAGATGCTTGCATTTGGCTCACATTTTCAATTTGAGCCAAATGCAAACATCTGAGAAAACTTTTCTGTACAGAAATTTTCTTATAAGTTCATGAAGGAATAATAACAATTTTTCTGTCCAAGAAAACTTTGACCATGACATGCAACCAATGATGTGGATCCCATTGTGAGACCCAACGAGCAGTGCACGCTAAATCATGCAAGTTCAAGGGCAATAAAAATGTTAAAAAAGTAAAAAGTGAATAACTTTTAGCCCTGCGTCTGAGAAGTCCTATAAAAAAATAAAATATAAGAAAAGGCCATAAAGCCCGACAAAAAAACGCATTGGAAATTAGAAAATAAAGTAACACAGCCTTTTCAGATGGAAGCCAATCCAAGTTAAAAAGACCACCTTTCTAAAAGGGCCCAACCTTTACTACTCAGGAAAATTGATCCGACGAATGTTCACTTTTTTCCAGAAATCTATTTGAATTGAAACTCAAATTCAAAGGAAAAAGCAGGCAAATAACAATTATAATAATGGGGGGAGGGGTTGAACAAAGGGCAACCAAATCATCATCATGGCTGTGTTTCAATTTTAAACAAAACTTTACAAGTATATATATCAACTTAAAACAAGCAAATGGTCAAGAAATCCTCAGAAGAACAACCAACCATGACTAAAAGTTAAGCAGATAAACATATCAAATTTCAAGAACAAAAAAGGATTTTAATTGAAACCCAGATCCACCATGAACAAGTTCAAATTTTGATGACAACCCAGAAAAGGAATCGAGTCGAGGAATACAAAATCAAGATAAGAAAACAAACCTGAAGCGCAGACAAGTTCTCGGTATAGAATTTATCAACGTTGTCGCTGAGAAATTTAGATTGGAATTCAGAACAGAGTTTCCCAGACTGCAAACAACTCTTGATCCTGTTCCACGTGTTGGTGTTATTAACCCTCTTCTGCAACCAATTAGAGTAATCCCCAAGCCTATACTCCTTATATCCTCTATTAGAAAAAGCTTCACCTGCGCCTTTGTTGGTAACAACGAAAGCGAAGATGGTGAAAGCGAAGAGAAGAACAATGAGCAAGAACATGACAAGGAGGTAGAACCAAAGGAGCCACGACACGCGACAACACGCGCCGATGAGCCCGGCGAGTGAAACCACCATGAGGAAAACGCCGAGAGCAATGACGGGTCTCTCGAGCCATCGCTCGCATTCGCTGCTGCCTTGTTTGCTGAGCCACACACCAGCCACCAGAATGGGAATCGATAGGAGGAAGGTGAGGAAGTTCAAGATTCCAATCAGGTTGTTGCTGAAACGAACCATGATGATGATGATGACGATGATGGTGATGGAATCAAAGTGTTTTAAGAATAATTATATATAATGAATAATTAATATAAAGAGTGAGAAAGGTTGGAGTATATATATGGGGTGGGGGTTGTTGCGAGTTGTAACTGTTGAGAATTTTAGATTTTATTTCACACGCCACGTTAGCTATAAACGCGATTTCGTCATCGAAGGAGCAAGGAACGTTGGGGTTAAACGCGTTTTTTCTTTTCTTGATCTGCTTCCGGTGCTCTTCCTCGTTTAGTCTGTTTTTTTTTTTTTTTTTTTTGTAAAATATACGTTCAAATATTAAAATTAATAAATGGGGTAGTGTTTTTTTTTAAATAATATTTTTTTTGTCTCGCACATTTTATGTGTGAACAAATGAGATTGAGAAATATCTGTCTCTTCTCTCTGGACAGAGAGACATAATGTAAAAATAAGGTGTAGGATATTTTTTGGATATCAAAAAGCCAAAATTGTATTTTTAATCGTCCATGAACTTACCTTTTTTCATAACATTGGAAGAGGATTTGAATTTTTCTTGGTTAATAAACAAATTACTTATATTCACCATTAATTGAAAACTTTTATTGTCTTTAAGAATTTGTACAATTTTCAATCAAACGGTGCTTTTCAATAAAAAAAAACGGTAAAAATTTAAATATTTATAATTTTGTTAATATTTATATTTTTATTATTGAATGTGAATTAATTTTTTGTTTTTTGTTTTTATGATATATAAATTTACCATTATTTAATATTTACTTTTAAAATATTTTAAGTATTAATTATTTTCAATTTTTTAATGTTGCTTTTTTTTTTTTTCAAATTTTGACCTTGAGTATATCTTTTTATCTTATACGTCTCATCGTTATACTTTAATTTAAAAAACACTAAATAAATTTAAAATGCCCATACTTTATACGAAGTACATGTTAGTTTGAAAGATTATCTATCGTGTATATATATAGTCACGTTACAATAAGATAAAAAAGAAAAATGTTAATATCCCACGTATATACATATATATTGCATATTATAAATTCTATTATATTAAAACAGTTATTTCTGATATATTTTACTTTTTAAAATCTTAAATTTAATTTTTAAACCTTTATTAGAAAAATATTTTAAATCTTAATCAGCACTTTTTGAAATTAAAAATCTAATTTATGTTTGGTCTCTTTCATTTAGATTATGTGTAATTTTTTTCTTTCTTTAAACTAAATAGGTCCTTCTAGCTTTTAAATTATGTAAGTTTAGTATCTTTGTCAACTTTATTTTACCTTAAATCTTCGATTTGTTATTTTTTATTCGAACATTTGACATATGGGTTTAAATGAAATTATTTTAAACGTTTTAGAATACAAAATTTTAGTAAAAACTTGATAAAATTTGAAACAACTTTATAATATATAATATTAGAGTTTGAAGAGTAATTTTTTATTTTAGGTACAGTTTGATATTTTGGTCAGAAATTACTAGTAGAAAATAAATTTAATTTATTAAATCTTGAAAAAAATGACAAAAAAACCCAATTTACTTGAATTTAAAAAGTTAATTAGCTTAAAAAAACCCGTCATACACAATTCAAACTGAAAAAACAAAAAACAACTAAATCTAAATCCAACACTGCATACTTTTTGTTGTCATGAAGCTAAATGACACAGTGCATTTATTTGATTTGATTTTACTAATTTTAATCTTTAAGTTTGATTTTGTGTATTCAAAAATATAAATTTTTTACTAAAAATATTTATTATATAAAAATACATTAATTTTTTTTTAAATTACTGTTTGAAAATATTCAAAATTAGTTCTAAAAATTGTTAAGATTTTATGTAGTCAATGTATCATTATTATATTAAACTAGAGACGCTTTTGATAATCCACGAATTCTAAATACATAGATAACTTTTTTGGAAGAAAGGGAAGTTGAAGAAGAACAGGTCACCAACTTGAACCGCCTCGGAAAGGAACATACTTTCAATTAAGAGATGTCTTAAACTCCTATATAGAAGTTCGAATTTCTTCACAAAAATTAATTCCCTAATTGTTATCGATGCAATGGGCCCAGATACCTGGGGCCCATGAATTTAATTCGCACGAGATTAATGTATTACATATTATTCAAGTATGCATTTGACTAATTAATTGAACTAACATATAGTTTATTTAATTAAAATAAAAGTGCTTGCTCGATGAATAAATTCTTTTATTTTAAATGGTACTTAAAACAGTAACTAAATTTATGTTTTATTAACATACTTTTTTACTAATTATTTTAATAGAAAATTCTACAACGTTGTTAGTATCCGTCACGTGCCCGTTACATGCATATTTTTAAAAATAATTTTTTTTTATTAAAATTACACGTATGTCATTGCATAATTTTTTTTTCTAACTTTACAAAACGTAATATATTTGAGAGTATAAGTATTGAAATGTCAGTTCATGAAATGAATTATTTTATTTGTTTTAAACATTTATGTGTGCTTACTATACTGTGTTTCAATTTTGAAGTTGAATTTGAATTTAATTAAATGCTTTATTTAGTATATTTTATGATTAATATAAAATAATATTTTCATATTTAAAGTGCAATAATAGGTTCAGATATAAATATGTATGTAGATATATAAATACAAGATATGAGAACAGAGATTAAAAATGTTACCCACATGAGTATGTGTATTTTACTATTATATCTGTGTAAAGGTGTTCAAATGCGACTTAATGAAGAGGAATGCCAATTGGCTCTTTTATTGTTACTTTTGTACACTGCTTTCAAGAATCAAGCAATACTCAGATTTAGAGGAGGAATTTGAATTCTTTTAACCAGAGGAAAGTTTTAACTATTAATTTTTATATTGAGTAGTTAAAATAAACTACTTTGCTTATTCTATTTCTTATTAATTAATTATTCTTTATTGACCTATCTCAGTTATTGGTATTTATATTGAGCTGTTAAGATTTTGTTAGAGAAGAGAAGCTCCCCGAAATACAGAACAGTAAAAGTTAAATGGTAATAATTAAATTAACAATGAACACAAAAATAAAATAATAAAATATTATACTTATTTTAAATTTGAATAAATATAAAATAGTTAAAAAGATATCGGTAAACTTTTTTTATTTCTTAATATAAGATTACATCTTCAGATGTTCTGAGTTCCATTCAAGGCATACAAGATCACCGTCTTCAACTCATTACAACTTACATTTGATTATTGTGAGTAAAATTTTGTATAACTTTTCACCCTTTTTCTCACATGAAATGCGAGAAAATACTTCCCTTTCCTATAAGACAGGCAAGTAAAGAGTAAACCCTTACATCAGTATTTGAAAATTTAAGTAACAGTCACTTAATTATTAATTTAATGAACCTCTTGTATTCTTTTTTAATATTAAAATACTATTCATTTTCAGTATTTTTTTAATTATATTATTTATTATAATGAAAACGAATGTTATTCTATTAAATAAAAATTCAAAATGACAATTCTATTTAATTAAAAAAATCTCATTAATTACTGCCCTTAATTTATTAATTAAAAAACGAAAAATGTTTTTTTTTATTGAAAGCGATGTTTAAAAATTAATTTTTGACAATTAATCTTTAATCAATATGTTTAATACACTAATAAAAAATTAAAATGACCTTTACTTATAATCTCAACAATCAACGTGGAAGTTTACCCAACAAGTAAAAGAGGCAATAAGACCCGCTGGCTGCCGGCGGCCGGCGCTATCGCCGGCTTTGAAGCCTAATTAAAGATAGCATTAGTCATGTCTATTGGGTCTATGATTTTTGGAGAACTTCATTTATTTATGGTCCCATGATGACTCTTGTATGAGTGTAATATCAATTATTGAAAACGTCTAACTGGTGCTGCTGGTTAATGGTGACAAAAAACAAGGAATGTTCCAATTATTTTGCTTCATGTAACTTTTTTTCTGTTCATGGAATTGTGCTGCAGCTATAATGGATTCCTTATTTTCTCTTGAGCTATGAAGGACACATTGACATTTTCTTTAGTAGATAAAATAAAAGATTTACAACGCAGAAATGCATAGTTTGGACAAAAAGAATTAGAACATAACTTGTAGAATGAAAATACCACTATAGACACACAAGCCTCACAGAATCAACTTTTCCTTTCTCTATCTCAAGTGCAGGGATCCAAATCCACCGTTTCTATTATTTGAGCCCGTTATATTCAAACTAAGACAAGGTTTTTAGTGCATTCACGTTCCAATCAGAATACTATACATGTCTGCGTGTTTTGGGGATAGCATGTCACCAGAGATATGGAATTAAAATTTAAAATATCTTCCGAGGTAAAACTAGTATTTTGTGATTATTTTTTTTCTTAATGTTTTCTCTCTTCAATAAAGTTCTTTCGATCATATTTTTATTTATAATTTTTAAATATATAAAATAAATTAACTCCAGCAACAAAATCAAGTTGCAAGAAAAGTTTAACCAAGAGAGAGAGAGGGGAGCAAATTCAACTGATTAATTATTGTATCTAACCCTAGAGAAAGTGAGTGGCCAACACAATATAAGATAAGGTTGAAGAAAATTAAGAAATCAAAGACTAAAAAGGTCCCCAGATTTGATAGATTAAGGAATCAACGAAGAAATCAAGGACTTTACGGATAAGTATTTTAAGGATATTGATTAATAAATTTAAACAAAAAGTTATATAAAATTACACTTTGGATCCTCTCATGTGAGTTTTAGCGGTCAATATCTTAACAAAATTTCAAACATTTATATAATTTTGTATAACAACAAAAAAATTGAACTATGTGGTTAAGACTTTAACTGCAGAGTAATGATGCTGTAAAGACTCCAGAGAATCCGAATTATTAAAAATATGTATTTCAGAGTTCAAACTGGTATTTGGTATATTTTAATGTATGGTGGTTGTTTTCAATTGAAGAAATGCTTGGGAGTACAAACTCCATTTTTTTATTTTGCTCACTTGTTCTTTTTTAATTGGATAACAGTTTTTTATTTTACCACTGCCGTGTATGGTCCCACCTAGAATTCATATATTTCGTACAAAATTCAGTCGTATTTTCTACCATGATTGTCTTAATTTATTAACTTGGACTAGTTTTTTTTTTATTATAGTTAATGTATGACTTTGGTTTCCCAATAATTTTTATTAACTTACCAATCAAAATATAACATTTTATTAAAATTAAAAAAAATCATTTTTTTAAATTCTAATTTCACATCTTCCGAAATTCTTTAAATTTTATTAACTTTCAAATTTACAAACTTTTAAAATCATTTCATATCTATTTCTTTAAAAATATCTAACATTTTATTATAAAAAAAAAGCTTTTAAAATTTACAATAGAAGGAAAAATTATGAGAAGAGCATATTTATTAAATTTTAAAAATATAGAAACCTCCTTTATTACAAAAATAACGTAGGAGACTAAAACTGTACTTATGTAACAAAACTACAAACAAACCATTAGCTTGTTAGCAAGGCCGTATATGTAATAACTAATTTGAAAATTGCAAAGATAGCATTTGAGCCAACAAACTAAGTATGGGGAGGGTCGAATATCTTAGAAATACAAAGTGTGTTTTTCTTCATATTTTGTTGTACGCGCGGCGTGTTTTAGTGGAGAGAGATATCTCTATCTCACCAACTTAGTTTGCAAAATTGGTCTGGGCACGGCATCATATTTTAATGCTCCTCTCAATCACTTCAAACGTTTCAGCATTTTGGAACTGTGTTAATAATTGAGTTTAGAACTTATAAAGAATTCAAACATTTAGTCTTTCTGAATAGAGGTGAGTATCTCTTTTAAGATAACTGTATAAAAAATAAGAAAGTTATAAATAATTTTATTTATAAATGAAACTAAGTTCATTTGATCAAATTGTTTTTCATTGAAATATTTTAAATCGTTACTATTTTATTCATTTTCTCTCACACAAGTTAACATCAAGGGCAAAGTTTTTTTTTTTTTTAAAGAAAAGCCTTATTAATTTATTTTTAAAAAAAAGAAACAACGCTGTTCTATTTTTTTAAAATGGCATAATTACTTTATTATATTAATCTTTAGATGCATTGGTCACCCCATCGATAAGAAAAGAAAAGAAAAAGAATGACGGATATACACGCTGCTAGGTATATCAGATGTCGTCTCTCCCAAGTAACCCTTCCCAAAAATTTTGGGTTAATCTAAAACATTGTCACATTCAAAAATATTATCATATACATTCTCCATCTCTTCTGTCCAAGCAGCAACTAAAAGGAAGAAAATTTAGAGCAGATACCATTTAAGTCGGAAGTCTGATCCATACCAACAGGGAGCGGGCATGATTCCCGTTGACATCAATTCTATTGAATAATTTTATGGGCTATTCGTTAAGGAAACGATATTTGCACGATAGTAAATAAACACAATCGTCAAACCTTCACACAAAGATTGTCCTACATTCTTCTAAAGGTTCCCGAGTTATTTTTTCTTTTAGTTTCCTACCCCTTATGCGGATCCTCTAAAGTGCAATAAAGATTTTAAAGTATATATTAAAAACATAATTGCTGGCAAAAGAATAATTTTGCACACACTTGTAACTATGTAATGCTCTTGTCCAAGAATTCGAATACTTTTTCCTTCTCAACAATTTTAAAATTTGTTACACGACCACATGAAATTGTGTAAATTCTACATTATGAAAATACTATTGAAATTGGTCTAAAACATGAATGTATTCTCTCTCTATCGTCATTAGACTTTGTTTACTCGATTCATCAAAAAGGGTTCGACCAATTTCAGCGCCAAAGATGCATGGAAGTGACTTTTTTCCTACTTTTCAACTGTCTTTTTCCTAAATCAAGAGAAGGTGAGACTGTGAATGGTAGATTTGACACCTTTAAAGTAACAAAAATGTATAAAGTAAAAATTCAAATATAGTCATCCTCAGTTAGAAAAAATAACATACCTTAAACTTGAAATAAAAAAAAAGCGCAATTTCTCACTTTACAAACATTATGAGGAGCCTAATCCATGATAGTGTAGTTTTTAAGGATTGAGCTGGCATACTAAAGTTCTGAACACAGAAAATATCATAAACAGAACCATAATATCAACTTCAAAAGCAAAATGGCTTCAGCAATTTGTGAAATGATGAATGTCGATAAACTGCCTTATTGATCCACCAAGACTCGGTGAAAGTCATCAAATACATTGAAGAAAATAAATCAACAGAATGTTCAAGACTTCTCATGCCTCGGAAGAGTATCCAACCCACCCGGTTTCAAAGAGGTCCTGGAAAAGTGCCGTTGTCCCTCTGCTCATTCCACCTTTCAACCTGCCACAATTCAGTCCACACAAAATTTTAAAAAGAGAAATCCTAACCCCCACCCAATGGAGGTTACAAAATAAAAAACAGTATTTCAATGTAATATTTTGTAGCCGTATAACACCAATCTTTGAAATTTGTGATAAAATTATATATATATATATAATTTCTCTATGCACAAGAGGCCAATACATATTGGCAATTCTATGGATGTCTAGAGATTAATTAGCCGGGCAAGCATTTTGGTGATTAAACAGCGTATGCCAGGCAAATTCACTTTCCTAATCCTAACAAAAAACACAAACATCTACATACATATGTAACAGCAAGATATCATCGATTCAAAAGCCTGATATACAAACATATTTCCAAAAAAATGTATTAAAAAAAAATACCACTTGACCAATTTCACTAATTCAAATTTTATAACAAAAATATTTGCTGGTGTAAAACATTAAGATTTGTTTAAAAAATCACAATACACAAACACCTACACACGCAAATAAAAGTAAGGTATCATAGATTCAAAGGGCTGATATCCATGCTTATTTTAAAAAATATATTTAAAAAAATATCACTCAACCACTTTCACTGACTCAAATTACACACCTAGAATCTTGCTGCTGCAAACATTAAGATCAGTTTTAAAACACAAACAGCTTCATACACACACAAATGCAGAAGTATCATAGGTTCAAAGAACAGATATACAAGCATATTTCCAAAAAAATATATCAAAAAAAGAGACCATTCAACCAATTTCACTAATTCAAATTATGTTCCTAGAATCTTGCTGGTGCAAAGCTTTGAAATTAGTTTCAAGCAACCATGTTCACAGAACAAGCTAACAACTTAATGCCATGATTAGTCAACACTGAACACAAATATAAATCAATTTGTTGACAAAGAAAACTGTGTCTAAAAGCTAAATCCCAGAGAACTAGACTACATATTACATAGTCATGTGCTTGAGAAAATTCTTGCACAGAAAAACACCTGGGGAGAAGAGGCAAACTACGAAAAGAAAAATATACACATATTGACAAAATGAATGCTCACAACATTTGAAGCAAGAATGCAAGAGCATGGCTATATTGTATAAACTGAATTATAAGGAGATACTCAAGTATAAATGCAGACTAGACAAGTCACAATGCTTTTGCTTTGCCCTTTGTGCGTTTAAGCCTTGCCTCTTTAGAATTCCAGATAAATCATGACTTTTGAGAAACAGCTACTGTAAATTTGGCTGCTTTTATATACTTCATTCACTAAGTTGCAGATCAGTTATCTGAACAATGCAATAGTATCGATTCCACACCATCTCTAATAAATAATCAAGTGGTCTAGATTACAGATATTAAATTAGATAATATAAAAGGAGAGATGAGAACATTTGTATCTAAAGTGAGAAAGTACATAAAGTAAGAAAGTAGGGGGGTGTATCCTTCCTTGATTTGAATTAAATTACCCCGAAGGGTAGATACAACTTACTTTTCTTACTTTATACACATCACTTTAGAGAACCTAAATCCCAAATTACTTTTCTTACTTTATACACATCACTTTAGAGAACCTAAATCCCAAACCTCCAAGCACAAGAACAAAGAAGTGTCTATGACCTATATCTGAGAGAGTCTCATCCTTATCTCTTGGCCATCTTCAGACACACAAATATTAGTTATGGGAAGGAAACAGAGAATCGAAAGTGAGAAATGACTTTATTGGAGATCACAATCAGATCATTCATTCTCAAGCACGTTCCAATTTTTTCATCAACATAAAATACAAAATTTCCATTCTTTTCAGGGTAAATGACCTGAACTTTACTGAGTACCAATTTTCCTTCTTTTGACAAGTCCAGAATGCCATCTATAAATACTTTTAATTGCTAAAAAAAACTGAAAAAAATTAATCTTATACAGCTGTGATAGAAAGGGCTAGCACACAACATAGCATAGCAGCAATCCAAAACCCACATAATATACCAGCAAATCATTGCTAGAAAACAATTCCATTAAAATAATATATACTAGCTTGAAGAAATATTGATGGAAAATTGCATTGATTAGTAAAGCTGGAATAAGCAAAGTGGAATCCACATGCACTACAAATAGAGACCACACAAGAGCACTAGCAATTCAATGATTCCTATCCCAATAAAAGAAATTAGCTATTTACCTATTGTTTAAAACTTGCTGATGTTAAGGATTCATTATTCAATCTTTAAGATATTGAACACCACAAATCACATTAATTTTAGCTATGACATCAAGCTTTACATTTAGGTCCATATGCAGTCAGTTCCAAGTAAACCAATAAGCTAAGGGTTGCTTACCCATTCACCAGGGCAAAGGGAGCGGTAATATTTAGCAAACTTCTGACATTCTCCTGAGTTTTCACCCTTTGCTGCCAGGCATCTGTAATTAAAATCAATATTAAGCAAAAGATTCTAGAAAGCATTTTTGCTAAACCAGATAGCCAATGTCAGGAAATCCACCTATGGAACTCTATGTAGCGAGTGAAACAGTGTCTGGTTTGATTAGTTGTAGGAAAACGAAAATCAGCAGGAGCTGTTTTTAGCTCAATCTAGCATGAAGTGACAAAATATAATGTTAGGAAAAAAAACTACAGAAAAAGATAGGTAGATACTGCACCAGTCACATCAAAATTCAAATTTCAAAACAGGATAATATATATTACAGCAGAATGCTAGAGAATGATTTTGTATCAGGCCCTGTAGTTTCAAGAAATGAAAGATAAGCAAGAATGTAAAACACATCTTCATTAGAATTATGCAATTTGCGTTATAGGGGGATCCATAATGCCATTTACAGGGAACCAACTTTAGACAGTTAACCCAAAATGTGAGGATAAGAATCTAAAAATATGCAGTTAAATTGCTGCACGGAATAAGGGTGTAATAACTAAGATATAGGCCAAATGTACTTATAAATAACAAACTAGAATGGGAGAACTATGGTTATTTGTAAGAAGTAATACTTAAGACCCTTTTGGTTTGATCTGGTGGAGAAGCAACTACACCAGTAAAACTATGGTTAAATTAATTTGTAGGTTCAAACAGGTCTCTATTGCAACTGTGTCCTTAAAGCTTTAAAAATATCTAATTGAGTCCCTACAATTTTAAGAATGTACAATTGGATTCCTTCTCCTTCCATTAGGGTGCCGTTGTGGTGCTCTATCAGTTGGCTGGGTTCACAAACCCAATTTATATATTTTTAAAAATAATATATATTTTGAAAAGCATGCAAAAGGACCCAACGAAAGATTTTTTTAAAAACAATAGCAAGTTAGGAACCCAATTCCGAAGTTTTAAAAGATGCAGTTGATCAATATGTGTGTATGAATGACACTGCTAACAAATTCTCCTAGGACACTTGTTAAGGAATTAAAAGTAAAATTTCTTTTTAACAAAAAGTATTACCAACACGCAGTCACCGTGATTTCCAATGCAACCCCTACTGTGTTTTTCAATATTTATTTATTTATTGATCCCTCGACCAGTATCTTAGGGCAATATATTTATAAAAAAGGTTAATATATTTATGTTCTCATCCCCTCAAATCTCGCTTTCTTTCCCCTCTACAATCCCAATCATTAGTTCACACAACGACTTCAAATTTTAATGGTTGAACATGATGAGAATTTTAGCCACCAAGCAACGTAATCTATAAAATCCGAAATGCTTCATTTCCCTCGTTGAGGAAAACAAAAAGCAATCCACTACCTTACTCATTTTAAAGAAATAACCAGTGGTAAAACGATTCAATAGATCAACGAGAGAATAGAAATTTAATAACAGATAAATATCCCAAACCTCAAAAGATAATAAATCGGAATCTTATGGAGAAAATGAGAAAACGAAAACAAGATGATAGTGGAAATTAATTGAAAGGAATTACTGAGTTGTAATTCAGCGATGAATCAGAGTCGGAGAAATTGAAACTTACTTCCGCCATGAGTGAGACTCGACCAACAAACGAAATGAAAGAAAAGCGCAACTTTAATAAATAAATAGTAATGGGTGGGTGACATGGAACTCCAAATAAGGCCCAATTAGAAACTTTACTTGCAGTCAAAACTATAAAAAAAAAATAACTGGATTCCTTAATTGGGCCCTGAATGTTGGATACTACACCCAAACACATATCCGCAAACAGATCTTAAGGCTCATGACTCGTTCTATCTGCTTAACTCAGCCTAACTCGAACTTATTTTTGGCATGATTTTTAAATTTGACCTAATATAGTTGAGGCCAAATCCAGATGTCTCTTAATTATATATAACATAGTATTATTATGTATATTGACATTATTTGTTTTATATACATAATAAATATACTTCAGTTTTATTTCTGAATTTTTAAAATTTTATAATTTAACGATACATAGTATTAAGATCGATATGTATTTCTAATAAATTAAGTTGATCCAATATTTTCTATCGATTTTAATCGAGTTAAGTTCAATTCAAAGGATTAACCCTATCAAAAATGAAAAAATCTCCTCTTCATTTATTTTATGTTTCATTAAAAGGGATAAAGACAAGTGCACTTTATGGATCCTATATATGTTTCATGTTAACATTGATACAAAAGGTGAAAAGACCAACATCAGTTCATTAGTGATTATGATAGTCAGGATTCTAGCACGATTATGTTAGTGCTACATACGAATTGTAAAAACCAAGGCCTTTTTGAAGATGATGACGAGAGACAAGTGATATAACAATGTTATGTTACCGTAGAAGATGAAGAGCTAGGTGAGCCAAACAATAAAAATAAGCGAGGGAAAGTGATCATGATTAAAAAAAAGAAAAGAAAAAATTAAAAATATATTTGATTTCTCTTTTAAAAATAATTTTTTGTTTTTAAAAATAAAATACAGTATAAATTTATATTATATTATATTTTAAAAAAGAAAAAGAAAACAAACATGCTCTAAAATAGTAGAAACCACACATCCATTGCCAAATGAAAGGCAGCATCTATGAATTGTGATTTTTAAGCCAGTATGTATGCGAAAGAGCGGGTACCAGACTAGCTGGAATCAGTTTTGTGCCAGCATTTGACAAGATTTTTTCATCGACTTGAGTTCACTAGCTGGAATCAACAGGGATTAGCGAACAGTCTTGTCATATTGGACGGAAAATAAATCCTTAGCATGTTTCATATGTACTCTGAAAATAGGATAGCGCCAACTAAGCTAAAACTTCAAAACAGTATCATTTAGTTCACAACATAGGTTATGCTTGACAAGACTTTCAATTCATTCTACCATAAGTTTCGTTTGAGGCAAAGATCTTTGGCTTCTTCATTTTGCACATTTGATTCAACAATTAACAAAATTGAACATATTAAACAGAAAGGCGCTACAAATAAAACCACCCAATCTGTGAAATTTACATAGAAAAACACCAACAATTCCCATGTATTGTACCTGCAAAAGCTAAAATTGAGCAGCATATAATTAACCGTCACTCGCTAAACTTCACCTCCGAGCAACTGAGGGATCATATGGACCTGCCCAAACAGCACCACCGACACCAGAACTATTGACAGCAGCTACTCCATTGCTGTCACCAATTGGTACCGTACTCTCTCCTACTTGGCCAGCAGCCATTTGACCATGAGCTCTTGCATACGCATCTAGAAAGGGACCACTGCTGTCTACAGGGGTAGCAGCCCTACACAGATTTGGTGCTGTTTACATAGTAAGTCTGCATCAGAATATGTATACAAAGTATCACATGAAAATACTTCGACATACTAAAAGTAGAAAGTTACCATTTATTCTTTTCTCAGCATTAGAAATCTCAGCTCGTAACATTTCAACTTCTCTTGCCATTGCTATCAGATTCTGCTCTTTTGCTTTCATGTAATCCACAAGCTCCATGTTTTTGTTTTTTTCATATTCAAATGTGGCACTATTAACCAACCAGAGTTGAACAATTACAAGAAAAGTTGTCAGAAAAAAGATATATAATAAAGAGCAACAAACTGCAACAAAGAAAATATGCAACACAATGTAAAGGAATAACAAATATTTAAGATTTTAGGCATATGATAACATCCATGAATAGCAAACAGACTTGAGGCATGATTTGATAGATATTGAAAACAACTTCAATACATACACTACCCAAATGATTCAGGAATCCCTTATTCAAGTTTTAAACTCATTTTGATTCTGTCATATGGAACTCTCACCTTAAATATATCATGAAAATACAACGGGAGACTTAAAACTATTATTCAACTCATGATACACACTTCAAATATAACATGTCATATCTTGAATCCAATCAGATCATACCAAGCTTATGGCCTATTTGGCTTGAGAAAAAGTTCTCGATTTTCATTTCCTGTTTCCATAAGCAATCACAAAAATATCACTTTGTTTTCATCTTGTTATCTATATAAAATGTTTGTACAGAAAAAGTGAAAACAAGAAACATAATGAAATAATGCAACATTTTTTTAATGAATTGTGAAAACACAAAATTGAAGTGAAAATGTTTTCTCAAATCAAACAGGCTCAACATAGTTCAGTGAAAAGAATAGTTCTTGTCAGCAGCATGTGGATCCTAAATTTTCTTTTAGTGTACCTGCCGGAGAAAAAAACCAACTTGAATAAATTTCTGCGATTTATGTTTTCATTTTTCATATCTTATTTTGTAGTGGCTGTATAAAAGATGCAGCTTTGGCTTACAGAATGTAGTGTTCTTGGCCATTTTCACATTATACCAACAACAACCAAAGCATTTTTCCATGGACAGGATCAATTACACATATCAACGGATGCAAACAAATTCTATCAAAAACCAAGTTCCAAAAAGGCAATTTAGACCCCAACAACAACAATCAAGCCTTTTTCCATTAAGTGTAGCTGGTTATATGAATCACGACGCCATTGACTTCGGTCAAAAACCAAATTTCCAAAAATTTGATTAATCAAAATGTTTATTTTAATAACTTCATTTAAGGTTCTTTTGTTTCTCCCTCAACCCTTTTTAACCAAATTAAAAATCATTCAATCCACTCCTCTCACTAGTGCCTTTAAAAGTCTTCCCTGCACGTCACCATACTACTTCAAATGATTTTCAATTATTTTTTCCAAAAATTTAAACCACATTACAACAAAATTAATGAGATACCCTGAAGTGTCCAGTATCAGTTCTGATCTACATATAGGTGGAAGCAGTCAAGCAACAGAGTTTAATACCCACCGTAACCTCTGGTGTTCTTGCACTAAACTGTCCAGTTCAGCCTGCAAATCTGGAATACTCTTACAATCACTCTGGACATTCTTCAGTTCCTGAGCGGCTCGCTGAATTTGGGCACTCAATTCCTGCCTGGAAGCTGCCAAGCTCTGTGCCTCAATATGGGCCTGTTGTAGGTCCTTCTTCAAACCAAGACCAGCTCTAATATCTACCTCTCCTTTTGCAATCTTATCTAGTAGGACTCTAATCTGAATGTCACCTTCAGTCTGGATGCTTCTAATGTGTGACTTCAGCTTCTGCACTTCCTGCGCTGCACCCACAAGCGCCTCTCTCAACGCCACATGTGTGCTCGCAAATCTACGGTTGTCCCCTACAAGTCGGTCTATCTCTGCTTCCTGAGCAGCAATTTTATCCTCCAACAGTTGAGGAGGAGGCCGAGACTCCAGAGCACGATGATAAGCACCAGAATTGAAACCAGGAAATGGACCGTGCCGCATCGTCCCAGAATCTTGCACAGAGCACCCGTCAAACGATGGCGGAGCTTTGCCTCTAGCAGTCACTCATCAGATTTTGAACCTGTAATAATGCAAACATCAATACCACCAACTCTGCCAAGGTCTGCATTGCAAATACCCACCACTCTAATTAAAAGGGACACACAAAGACATGTATCCATGCTAATAACCAAAATTTCAAAACTGAAAAACCAGTTCCTACAACTCTCCAAAGATTGTTTCATTAGTATAGTACCTCAAGGTCAAAGCAAGCATTACAGACTATAACAAAGCTATAGTTTTTCACTCCTTTTTAAAGCCATTGGTTTTACAGCATCTCCCTAGTGTTTTTTTCTTTTAAATGCTATACAGACAGTTTTCAAATGTTATGCGTCGACATACAGAAACATTCCAGAACTGCACAGATAATAAATAACAATCAAAATGACAAAGGAATACCCGGCTACAATAAATCGTACGTGTGTGTAGCAAACAACGAAGAGACTAACAATTCATTGCAAAATTGAAATAAAATAAATAAACAACGGAACCAAAGGTTAATGATGCAAATGGAAAATTAAGGAACGTTTAAATTAAAAGGGGAAAAAATGGGGGGTGGATGAAAGAGATGTTGAGGCAAATGGTAATGAAGAGGGGGAGAAGAGGGTTACGGTGAAAGCAGTGAAGTGATATTTATTTGGCGAGGTCGATGGTTTCTCCTTTTCACTCAGCCGATGAAAGGCATCAACTACGCTCTGCGCAAGTCTCCTCCAACTTACAAATTTACATCAACACAACAAAAACTTGTCCCGTCAAAACGCAGGTAAACGTATATATAAAGACACACGGTTCGTTCAATTTTTTGCCATTTTTAATGTGAAATTAGCTTTTTTAATACAGATTATATAAATTAAAAAAATACTTTTTTTTTATTCATTGATCACAAATAGAAATGCTATTTTGGTATAAGTGAGTAACGATAATGGAAATAAGTAACGTGATTCCTCAAGGGTTATGATTTGATCACGTTGTGTTTAATTTATCAATATTTATTTATTAAACAAGTTAAATTAAACTTTTATCTAATTTTAAAGCAAGCCGTTTTTCAAATTTAATAAATTATTTTATTTAAGAAAATAAAAACAACAACAATAATATACAAGAAGGAATGAAGGTAGGAGTTACGAGAGGAACAAAGAAGATAAGAATATACATCAGAACAAGTCCCCTAACTTGTCATTATGCGATCAAGGTTAGTCATCTGTTTCCATCCTCTGAATGATGTATTAGAAACTTATTTGCATAAGAATTATAAATTTAATTTTCATATTTTTTAATAAAAATATATAATTGAAATTATTATGTATGTATGTTAAATAATTTTAAAAAATAATTTTTAATCTTTTATTTATTTATTTGGTCAAGCATTGTTTAATTTAAAATTAACCAAACACTATATTGTATACCAACGAGCCTTTCATCATGTCACGTAACGGGCCTAAGCCCAAGGATGAAACTAAACAAAAAGGTTGAACAAGAACTGTTATCCTTGAATAAATTTATCACTCAAGTACTCTACAAAGGAGTTGACAAAAAAAGTACTATAAAGAATGTTGAAAAAAATATAAAATAAAGAATGTTGCTAATTAAGGTAAAAATAGTAAACTAGGATGGACATTTTAATTATCTTATGATACATATGAAGTGTAACATATAATCAGTATAATATATGACAAAAAAATAATTACATAATAATTTTTTAACTAGCATGAGTTAATAAAGTAAATAATTTATGAGTGAGTGAATATTTTTAAATTGTTAGATGTATTTTAAAATTTAGTTCAAAATTTTGACATATAACTTATTAATACAAGTTTATATATATATTTATCATTTAATCCTTCATAAAAATTTATAAAATTTATTTTGAATATTCAAAACTTATTATTTTGTATCTTTAAAACATGTTATCTTTTATCTTCAAAATTTTGTTGTTCTTCTCCTTCTGTACCTTTGTATATTTTGGATCTTCAAACCATAATTTATAATAAAAAATAACTTTTAAATTGATAAATATTCGGAGGGCAAGTATACCTATCGAGAAGTAATAAAGGGTTCTTAAATTAAGTTCCTGAAATATCGTCCCACAATAATTGATTTTCAATTACTAAGAATTTTCTAATTCAATTATTTAAGCTTCAAAGATACGAGATTAATTAAAAATAAGAATTTATAAAATCAATTATAAAACTACGAGTAAGAAATACAATGCACGCCTTGGTTAAACTTATCGGAGAGGAACCTAGGGCATATGGATTTTCTCATTCAATCCTTTATGTTATTTTTCTATTTAACTCTAAATTCAATTTCCTTGTGATTATCAATCATTCATATGAATACTATTAATATCCAATGGTCATGCAATATTAATATTATTTTCTCTAAATTAACATCCTCAATGGTCATGCAAGACATTAATTTAAGAAAAATTTAAGAGCCTACAAATTTGTTAATTTAATAACAATTAAAAGAGAAATATTGGTTTAGTCCATCTAATCCTTTGTCATGTTTTACCCTATAAATCTATTAATTAACCGAGGTAGGTTGCCTAACGATATAATTAATTAGGATTAAGAAAGAAGCACAATAAGATAAAATATAATCACAAAACGGAAATCAAATTTAAATTCAAATATCAAAATTTCATAAATTCATGAACAATAATTTTCATAACCCTAACTATGGATTACTCATGCTAAAGAAAATAACTAAAACAATCATAAATAAAGACATAATCAAAAGAAATAGCAAACTAGAGTGTGAGATGTGTTTCCGGTCTTTAAGTACAATCGCTTGAAGCTTCAAATCTCGCCAAGCATGTGCCAATGATCCTGTGCAAGAGAGACGAGATCAGATGTATTCTAGAGCTAAAGCCAAGATGTAAAAACGGTTCCTTTTACGATGTCTGGGATCTCCCTTTTAATAGGGTTTGAAAACCCTAAAGATTCTTCATAATTAGGCTTCCCGTAGATGAGCACGGCTGCGCAAGACATTGAGCACGACCGCGCTTAGGCTCGAAACACTCCCGTGCTTATTGAATGAGTCTGGGCGTGCTGACTGCTGCGAAGCTCTAATCTTCCATCAATTTGGGCCCAGAATGCACCCAAAATCCACTTGCGACCTCTTTATACCAAACTGCATAATTAATATATAAATTAATATAAAATTCAAATAAAATAAAAGTCGAATATGAATATATGGACTGTAAAAGAGGACCTAATTACAGACTTATCAATAGAATATTGAATGTCATTTTAGATCTTTAGAATTCTCCTATAAACTCTATTTATAAAGTTAATAGTTTTTAGAATTAAAACATTCATGTCCACTCTCACCGTCTGAATTCTTTATGAAAATGAGGTTTTGTATTGATACATTGTTCAATACTTTTTTAAATCTTTCTCATGTCTTCTTTGCACAAGGGTCACTTTTGCATCTTAGAATTTTGGCAACATTCGCTTGAGACAAATTTTCTAACTTAAGTGTAAATTCTAGAAAAAAAAAACTTATTTGAGGTAATTCATTTAAGTGGTAAATAAATTGTTAAGTCGTGTAATACAATACAATATTAACTTAAGTGACAAATATCAGCTTAAGTTAATGAGTGTTAAATTAAGCAAATTTTGACAAAATTTGTTGGTTTATCATTATCTATATTTCGCTTAAGTGAACAATTGTGACTTAAGCAAAAATTACAACAAATGAATTCCCTATATTTTTTTTCTGATTTAACAAAATCTTTTTAGTCATTACTCTTATTTTAATAAAACTAAAGTGTTAATTTTTAAAATGACTGGAATAAGTATATGATGTTTTTAAATTTATAAAGACTACAGTTGAAAGTATAACAATCCAAAGAGAGAATGATTATGCAGACTTAGAGTTTAGGATAGATTTTGGAAATTAGTTTGCATACTACTAAAGAGAAAAAAATAAAGAAAAATTAAAATAAGAGAAGAAAAAATTGGACAAAACTTTTATTAGATCTTTAAATTTAGATATCTCTTTTTAGACTTTTATCAAATAAATTTCAACTAGAATCACTCAATTTATTATTGAACTTTACATTGAAAATATAAAATAAATTATTGAACTTGTTTCAAAAACAAAGATTGAGTGAGTTTGATCTGTTTTAAATATTTAAAAGATTGAAAGAATGTTTGATTTGCTTTTTTTAAAACTGTTCTTAATTTTTTAAAATAAATTGTAATACAAATTTTTACTATAATTTATTTTTAAAAATCAAATCAAATATGCTCTAAGATCCTCTATCTATTAAATTTATTAAAAATAGATTTTTAAATTTTGTTATAACAAATTATTTTACTAACTTATTTAAATTTGCAGTAATTTTTACTGACAAAAAATTATGTCATGTGTCGTTAGAAATTTATCAATATTTTTATGAAAAAGTGAAATTCACTGTAGCACCTATTTATTATACAATATTTATTTATATATTTCGGCTTGCCTAATATTTAATATTTATCTTCTAGAACAAATATCTCAATCTTAAATAAACAAATAAAATTTATCAATAATTTTTTTTATAATTTCTTATAATATCTTCATATTTTAATTCACTTAAAATAGACAACTTAGACAATTCTTTATTTTTTTTCCTGACAAGCGTAGATCAATAAAACATTTTCCAACATATTAAGATTCTTCAACCGCTCGTTGAATTTCAAGAAAAAAAAAAAGTACGGCCATCAACTAATGAATCCAATAGAACAATTTGGACATTGATTTGTCCCCATTATGACGCTATGAGAAGAAAACTATTCTTAAACCCTCTCCTAATAATAAGCTCGAGGGACACAGTAAAAGTGAGCAAATCCTCAAATTCAAATTGGAGAGTGGCACACTTTCATAAAAAAAATGATGGATACCACAATATTAGGAGAGTGGCACCTCTTGCAAAAATAAAGCATACCTGATCACCCATATCCGGCCATGAGCTGGCTGCACAAAATCATTATTTTATAAACGAGCAAAAACACCATAGTCAACAATAATAAACAAGCCTTTCCTCCTCCACTAGGGTGAGAGTGGCCATTATGGGTTTGTACTGTATTGGCACTTGTCCTCAATCATGTGACGTGCAAGAAGCTGAAGCCATGTCAACCACAAGGTTTTGTCCATCAAAATCCAAGACCGCCACGCCAACCTCCCCACTTTCTAGTCTCAAAGATAAAATAACCCATTTATCAGTTCACACTTTACTCTATACAAGTTTCACACAATCATCAGCACAAGGCATTATAAATACTCGAAAACCCTCTCCTTGAAGGCATCATCAGAGTTGCACCACACTGCATATATATATATATATAGCTTCTTTACCTACATTTGCATCGCTACTTTTCAAAGCTACATTTCACAGCATGGCTACATCCTGGTCATGTTGTTTACTAGCACTGCTTCTTTTTATGTCTGTTATTGTATCAGAAAGTAGAGTGGCAAGGAAGGACTTGGGTCTGGATCTTGGTGGGTTGGGGATTGGAGTGGGAGCAGGGTTGGGCCTAGGCATAGGAGGTGGCAGTGGCTCCGGAGCTGGAGCTGGAGCAGGGTCCGGTTCCGGTTCTGGTTCTAGTTCTAGTTCAGCGTCAAGTTCAGCTTCTTCATCTTCCAGTTCTGGGTCTGGCTCTGAAGCGGGTTCTTATGCAGGCTCGTATGCAGGTTCCCGGGCTGGATCAGGATCAGGCAGAAGTCAAGGGAGGGGAGGTGGCGGTGGCCGTGGTGGTGGCGGTGGAGGAGGAGGAGGCGGTGGAGGTGGCGGCGGTTACGGTGGAGGTAGTGGTGGGGGCTATGGCGAGGGCTATGGACATGGTGGGGGTTATGGTGAAGGAGGTGGTGATTAAGGAAATGCTGGAATAAAATATGGTTTACTCAAATGAAAGAAAATGATCTTTTTAAGTGTTTTGTGTAATAAATAATTAAGTAGTAGATGGTCTCTGTACCCAAATAATAAACATGTAAGGTGGTGGACCCCATCCTGTGTGTTCTATTGAAGATGAATCAGTTGGGTTTCAGTTTGAGCCAATTTGCTATTAGTAGTTCCTTGATTCCAAGTCTGCCTGGCTATTTCATGATTCCCATTTTTATTTGTAATATGGCATAACTTTAGTTTGTTAAATTCAGATAAAAATGTTAGCTTGATTTCTATACCTAGACCAAGTTTAGACTTTTGTTACTAACTAAATTCAGAAAAACATGATAGACTTATGCTAGTTATAATTACACTTTGTTGCACGCAGGAAATTTGAATACACGTACGACCGCATCGACATTGGACATACGTATTTCCAAAAGCGATTCATGTATGAAGATTAATTAATGCCTATATTTGTCTATTGTCTACTAAAATAAAATAATAATTCCTTAATCAGGTAATTTGCTCTGATTATACTGATCATCTCCCACTATAACCAATAATAGTACTAATGTATGTTTTTGCTGATATCAACAATATGAGCTATCATGCTGGGTAAGGAAACCCCAAACATCATCAAATGACGCCTGCCCTAATATACCAGATTGGAGGAAAATAGGCCTTTAACTCAAAAACAACATGCTAGTCACTTCATCTTCATTCATGTGAATATTCTGATTCCTTATTTGTTTATGTGAGGCATCGTGGAGGAATAGTTCATACAATACACTTTTAAAAAAAGATTCGCTATAACAAATACACTGCATCAAAAACTTGCTTTCGGGGAATTTCTTATCCATGAGTTGGCGATGAGAATGAAAGATATATGTGCCCGGAAGAATAATATATATTTTCCACTTTCTAACTGGAAGAGAAAAGGTCGCTGCTGCATATATTATATGGAATTTACTAATTAAACCCATAGCATATATATGTGATGCTTTAAGTTTGCACTCATATAAATAGCAGCGACTTGAATGTTATATACGGTAGTCTGATTTGTTCGTCAATTAAAAAAGATTTGCTAATTGCTATCTATAACAAAGGCACTACATAAAAAACTTGCTTTTAAAATTCATTTCTTCCTCTCCATGAGTTTGCGATGAGAATGGAAGGATAATATATCTTTTCCACTTTGTAACCATGAAGAAAGGTCGCTGCAAGCACTACATATTATGGAACGTGCTAATTAAACATATAGCAAATATATGTGAAACTTTAAGTTTGCACTAAATATATATAGCAGCAACTAGCAAGATGTATGCTAGTCTGATTTGTTTGTCAATAAAATAGGTTTATCATAACAAAGACACTACACCGAACACTTCCTTCTTTGGTTCTTCTAGTCCATACGTTTGCGATGAGAATGAAAGATATGTATGTGCCTAGAAGTCATCTTTTTTACTTTCTAATTTGAAGAAAAAAGGCCCCTGCTACGTGTGTTATGAAATGTACTAATTAAACATATAGTGTGCGAGGTGCATGATAGAAGTTAATGCTGATCTTATGATTATATAAACAGTCAAAAAGATTGTTTTACTCTTGGGGTGGGTTTAGTGTATGATTTTTTTAGTTTCTTGATAATTAAACTTTTTGAAAATTTGTTTTTTCTACACGTTAAAAATATATTTGATATGTCTTAAATATTATAGATAATGTAATATAATAGTTCTTAGAAATATTGTGATAGTGTTTGATTCTAATTTTTTTTTTTTGAGAATATTAATGTTTTTTCAAAAATATTTCTTTATTTCTTATGATAATTAATAAATTTTTCTTATACTATTAACTAATTTAAATTTTTAAGAAAATAATATAAGACAGTTATAAAATTGTGCGTGAAAAAATATAAAAAATAATGGCCTATATATATATATATTTTATTTTTTTTCATATATTCATTTTTTTAAATGCTAAATAAATAAATAGAGAAATTTAACTCTGTGTACTTCGAACTCGATGGTTAGACGAAATTTTTTTACAAATTTTACTATAATCTGATTCAATTAAATTCTATTAATTGTTCTATATTTTTTGTTAAGCCCGATCAAGTCCTATAAACATCACAGTGATTTGGGTTTGACAAAACAGCGAAAACTTCCAGTCAAGCACCAAACTTCGATAAAAATAAAAAGTCTTCTTCAGTCTCACTAGATCTTTCCTTTAAGATAAAGCAAGGTGGCTTTTCTAGATTGTTCTCCTAGTATCCTCTACATCTTGAATAAGTTTTTGTGGCTAGCAATTAGGAAAAAATGTCCTTTACAGTTTTTTCTTCTTGAATTTGAATTACGTGCCAATCATGTATCCCACTATACATTGTGCTTGAGTGAGTGGGGATATGCTGCTATTAATGGCCTGATCAGTGATCACCCCAATAATAACAAATAATATATAAACTGCACATCCATCTTTCTGCTATATATAAACTTTCACTTAGAATTAAAATTAGTGTTATGGTACATATAATTTTGTTTAAACTTTTCACCAAGTGAATACAAGATGGTTCAAGTGCATAGCATGATCAAAAAAGTTTAGTATTCTAGTTCAATCCTTATAACTAAAAAGGGGTTTGATTTTTACTTATAATAATCTTTTACTGATAAATCGTCTATAAAAGCCAACATATTGAAATGGAGCAACTTTTCTTCAAAATTTTACAAATTTTTAGGTGGTTTATCTCTGGGCCAAAGGCTGCAAGTGTCACCCCCACTTCCTATAGTGTCCCAAAACGCACGCCTCCTGCTTTTACACATGCCAATGCCGACCTCCCTAATTAGCTATCTATCCTCAACTATAAATAACATGCATCTGAATATGCTTCTTCCAGAGCTTCCAACCACTAATATTAGCTGAGTTTCATACCCTTTTTGTGTTTCATTAGTAGTGAGCATATTGATCCGGGTCAATGGCTGCTACAATGAGGGCCTTAGCTCTTGTTGCTTTGCTTGTTGCAATTAATGCTATAGCGTCTGAAAGTAGAGTGGCAAGAAAGGACCTGGGTTTGGACCTTGGTGGGGTGGGAATTGGGTTGGGTGCTGGGGTTGGAATTGGACTTGGTGGTGGTGGTGGTGCTGGCTCTGGTGCGGGTTCAGGCTCTGGCTCTGGCTCGGGCTCGGGCTCTTATTCAAGTTCTGGTTCTGGTTCTTCATCAGGGTCAGGGTCTTCTGGAGCAGGTTCTGAAGCTGGTTCCTATGCAGGATCGCATGCTGGATCTGGGGCTGGGTCAGGCTCATCCGGAGCAGGTTCCGAAGCCGGTTCCTATGCAGGATCTCATGCTGGGTCTGGAGCTGGTTCAGGCTCCTCTAGAGCTGGTTCTGAAGCAGGTTCGTATGCAGGGTCTCATGCTGGATCAGGATCATATGATGGTGGAAATGGAAAGTAAAATTCTGCGTGTAAGTTGACAACATGAGATAAAGATCACGTGGCGCGAAAAGAACATGTCGGTGTCATCACTATGTTAGTTCACTAGCTAGAATTTCTCTTTACAAAAATAAGTTGGTGTTTCCTTAAGCATGTCCATCGCGTTTTTTTCTTTTTTGTTTATTACATGGAATTTCATACAAGTGAGTCATGGTTCTTCTTGCCATGTACAATGTGCAAATATTATCCTTGTAGCGTTGGATGATCAAATTTTGCATACGTGCCTGTTGCTTAATGTAAGAGTGCCTGCCTAATTATTTATGAGTCCTTCTATTAACTACAAATTCGTTTTCACCCTTAAGCTAAGATTTCTAATTTTTATGTGTAATGCCGGGGAAAGGCATTTATAATTTACGAGTATAAAAGCAACATTAAAAAGTTAAGCCATAGTTAAATTAAGAAAATTTTAATTATAAAAAATTAAATAAAAAGTTAATACAATTTTTAATCACTAAAAAGTGCTATGAAGAAACAAAAAAGTTATCTATAAACTAATAAGATTATATTTATAAAAATTGCCAGACCTATATCGTACTGCGATCTCAGGTAAAAAATTAACGATTAATTATCTTGGTCCATTGCGCCAATGAGCGAAAAAAGCCTTTTATTGAGTGCACTTCTAGACTCTCCACTAGTTTGTATTTTCATCTCAAAATTCCAACTAGCTTTCCCTTCGTTTTCCTTTTCTTTTCTCTGTCCGGGGGATAAATACTGTGTTAAAGAAAAGGAAAGTGTCACAAGTACCTAGAGATTAAGAATATGTTTGTTTATATTTAAAAAATAATAATCTTTTTTAAAAAACAAAAACTACAAAAGAAAAAACTCTATTTAGATATGAAAATAAGCATGCTTTAAGAACCCTTTAATTGTTTTATATTTAAATAAAATTAATTTTAAAATCATTATTTTTAACAAGTGAAATGTTTTTTGTATTAACAAAATGTACAATTTTTGTTTCAACTTTAAAAAATACAAAAAACTTATTGTAAAATATGATAACCCTGTGTGTTACGAGAGAGAGATTGGTAACTTATCCGTACCTATTTTTTAAAAATAGTATTTTAGTAAGATAGGTATTTTATATTCTAAAAAATATATATAGTTATCGCTTACTAACATACTCATTCTAAATTATAAGTAGATGTATGTTAACCATCATACATACTATTATACATCTATAATTTCTTAGTTAGTATAATAGCACAATATACTTTGATATATTTTGAGAAAAAACATAACTATAACTTGGTAACATACTTTTCCTAAAAAAATTTAGGTTTATATTAACAAATCCCATACATGTATATACAGGTGGGGATCAATTTAATTGAGAAGAAATATTCAACTTAATAGCTTTTTTTTTTTTTTTTATCAAACACAATATTTTTTTATTAATATTAATATTCTTCTGCCAACTACAAAAGTGGACAATTGTCCAAGGTTTCAAACCTTAAAAAATAAGCCTAGTCCAATTACAGGCCCAAATTATAACTATACCCATGCAACCATGAAGCAACAGCACTGCACTATAGGCCGGATTCTAATTAATTCAGAGTAATTGGACCCAAAAAATTAAAAGGAGGAGGAACTACACCTAATAAAAAACATTTTTTATTTTAAAAAACTGCTAAATAATATTTTACGGGATGTATTAAATCATACGTGTAAGTTATACAATATTTCACACAGTGAGTCTAAAAATATTTTAACTCTGACCCTTTCCAAACCTAAAAACTAACGGTAATAGATGCTAAAACTTTTAATATAAATTTATTTTACTTGGAGGTTAAAATAATGTTTTTAATACAAAATTTTAATAGAAAGGACAATTAAGAAATTTGATATTATGTTTTTTTTTTCAATAGTCGTATATATTCAGAACTAAAACAATAAATCAATGTTCTGACAAAAATAAATAAAAAAATGTGTTACTGACTCTTAATGTCTGAATAATGATCACATTGTAAGAGCAAGTTGTCGTAATTTGTAAAAAATAAAATAAAAATTCTACACTCAAAATTATATTCATTTCACGCATAATCATTTTGTATTCATATTTTTCCGGCTTCTTAGTATTACGACGTTTGGATAGAGAAGAAAACGTCATGTTAAAACGCAGAATCTTCCGGATTTGATTCGAAGCAAAATTTAAGTAAAATTTCCTATTGCTACATAAATAATATCTTCGATCATGACTTAACAATTATAACTATAGTCGGACACAATTAGGTGGTACATAGACGATTTCACGAGCAAATATTTATAAGTGTTAGTCAAAATAAAAATAAACAAGTATTTATAAGTGTGATGATACATTCTCGTCATAATTTTTAGGTTTATTATTTGTTAATTAATGGCTCGAGACATTGGTTACTAAAATCCTTTTTTTCAATCCAATAATTTAAGCAACAATATTATCCTAAAATCTGTATTATGAATTTAGTCTCCCCTGAAAGCTTGTGGATATTTGTTTATTTTGGATTTAGTAACTGTAGAAGAAGCATCGTGGAAGTTTCCAAGGTACAGCCATATATAAAGAGAACATGTTCCCATGATCCGCCAGCTAACAAAACCATCACCCTCACCGCTTTTTCTCTCTGTTGGCAATTGGCACATGGAGGATCGCATATTAGTCAAGGTAAGCGGCAATGAAGTCAAAAAAACAAATGTTGCTTTTTAAAATTTATTTAAATTATACAAATTCATTTTTAATGTTACTTTCTATCTTTTTATAATAAATGAATAATTTATAAAGTTTAATAAAAATAATTCCATACCATATATTTATATCATACTTTAAAATATATTCATTATATTAAATGATCAATTAGTAATTTATATATTAAATATATATAATAAATAATTTACTAACAATTTTTTAATAAATTATATAATTAAAATTTTTATCTTTATTTCTATATTTAAAATAAAAATATTAATAACATTTTTTATTAAAAGAGTCAACAGTATTAATTTTTATAATTTGCAAAATATTATTAACAAATTGATGTTCAGTTGAAAGTAATGCGTTTGTTGATTTGCTGTTTTTTTTTGGGCCAGTGCATCGCTGCTATTTTTCAGAAACAAACAATCTTCCATAACTTTACTTTGTTGCATGTGTAATTCTTTCAATAAACATTAATTATATAACCTTAAGACACTAATTAAAAATTTAAAAAATTATTTTTAATATATTGAACACAATTTTAATAAATATATTAAATATTGACACGTGCTTCCTTCGTTTTTTATTTGTCCCCTTTGCATTTTTTTTATTCATCCGTTTAAAAGTTCAAATGATAATTAATTTTTAATTATATCATTACTTGTGCTTGATTTTAACAATATTTTACACATCTATCGTATAAATGGTAGAAATAATAGTAAAGGCCATATTCGAAAGTTGAATTTTTTTTTTATAATGAAAATAAAATGCTGTTCTATTTACTCATCCATGTACTCCTCGATGGAGAATGAATTGGGTCAACATAATTTTAACTTGCACCATAATCAGGTCAGTTTACCAATTTGAAAAGTAGTTGACTCACCATGGATTTGCAGAGATAAAGTAACTGTACCCAAATTGACACCTCTAATCATAGTACTATAACACATGGTTTTTATAAGGGGAGACTCTTCGTAAATCTTACGTAAAGGAAAGAGAGAAGGAATAGAAAAATAAAAAAAGAGTAGAACATAAAATTATTTGCATATTCACAATTTATGCACAATTCACAAACTCCATTAACTAAACTAACTCAAAGGAACTGGGGTACATATGAAGCCTCAGTTTCATGCATACAACCTAGCATACCGTGAGTTGGGAGTCGTTTAAATAATCGTGTCAAATTTATTTGAGCGCGCAAAAAAAATCAAATTTTAATTGATTATAATAACTTTTTACTTCATTTTAAATATAAAATATTAAAATAAATAAATTTAATTTAATTTTAATAATTGTTACAATTCAATTTATAACATTTAAATAATATCAAACTTATAAAATTGGTGTTTGACTCATTTAATTGTTAATATTAAACTTATAAACCTTTTGTCTGACTCATTAAAACAGTTTAATTTAATTTTAAATCTAAACTTATTTATTTAATTATAAAAAAGCATACATTTGGTAAACCGAACTCAAATAACTGAATTCATGTATCCCGTTTGATTACACATATGCCGATACACGCATCTATAAGTCTAGATAATCAGAACGCGTAGCGAGGTCACCAATGGCTACTGCAGGCATGCTTTGATTATAGGAGAAGCTTTGGATTACGCATATTTTTTTAATATAAAAATAACTGGCTAGTAAGACAAATTTGTTACTCTGTTTGAACAAACAAATTAAGTGTAACTGAAGCATAGGGGAGAGGTGTAGATATTAAAAAATTTAATCTGTTTAATTAAAATGATCACTTTCATGCATCCAACGATTATTGTCATCTTTATTCTACACTCCTTCCATTTCAAATTAAATGATATTTAAGATTTGTATGTAAAATAAAGATTTCAATCAATATATTAATTAGTAACATTAAATTTTTATTAAGACTCTGACTCACAGTATTTTAAAAGTATTACATTCATTATTCATTTAAAGTCAAATTAAAATAAAAAAACAATATTTCATTAAAGTCTTAAAATGTTGCTTAATATAGCTTTTCTTTTACTAAAATGATACTTCATTTTAAATAGAAAACGCTTTGATAATTAGTTCCACGCAATATTATACACATACAATTTATAGTTAAAAAGTTAATTTAAATATATGTTTTAATTATATTTAATATTTTTATAAAAACGATTTATTAATATTAACAAAAACCGAAACTAAAATTCAAATGCATGAACTGTGGACATTCTCATTTCCTCTATCACCCTCGCCCCTTTGACTTTGTTAGTGGCAATCAACTAAAACATCCTGTAATCATTTTTCCGCCGCGGGGCAAACTAAATTATACCTTTGACAGATATGTATTAAAAACAATCTTTTTAATTTTATATTTTTAATTCATTTTATACGGAATTAAATTACTTAATTTATAAAATAACCTTTTATGTTATACTTTTGTTCTTTAAAAGATCAATCATTTATTAAAAACTAGAGTTAGGAACAGTACACGGGTTTGCTCTTTCGTAAGCAGCCAGTGGTCATGGGCCTCATGTTCCTTGCCAATCCCATTTATTTCTTAATGTTTACGCTTCGCATTCTATTTTTAAATCTTAAAATTATGGATATTTAAAGAAAACCGGATAAAAGATTGCTTGGAAATTGATTGTTTAGAGAATAAACGGAAAATCGTCGAGATTGCATCGCATTGACATAGAAGGGGAAAATTAGAGCATGAATATATAAACCAGTTTGTCTTGATTCAGTGTTTATTCAATGCAATTATTTAATGAAACGCGGGGAACCAAATAAATAATATTATTCCTTAACTTTTGAATTTTTGGGAAGAGGGCATGTAAAATTTTATTAAAGGTACATGTAAAAAAGTTAGGTGAAATTTTTTTTATCATATTGTGAATATTTTCACTTGATCAAAATTACTGTAGACCCTAAAAATAAACTTTGGCATGCAAGAAATAATCCTATTCAAATAGAATAAGACTAATATGGTAATTGCATATTTAGAATTTAAATTTAAGACCATTAATTATCTTAAAAATAATTGTATTAATAATAAGTTTTGAATTAAATATAGAAAAAGAATAAAATGTTCGATTTATAAATATTTAATGATACGGATAATGATGTAAAAATAATCACAATCATCCTTTTAAGTAAGTTCTCTTAAAATTAAAGGTAAATACAATAATATTAATAAATAGTTATAGCTTTCAACCAAATACAATAATTAAAATTTAAAGCAATATGCACAAACACGAAGAACTTGGCAGTTAATAAGAATATTTGAAATTTAGTTAAAAATTATAAAACTACGAATTATGTTTTTTAATTAAAATTTTGAAACTGGCAATTATATAAAAAAAGTCCTTAAGCAACTAAGTTTAACTAAATTTAAACACATTCATTTAATTAAATAAATAAAAAATTATTAAAAAGTTTAATAAATTAAATACGAATAGCTTCTTTTTAACTAAGGTACCGTTAATTACGTACATTTTTATCGGATTATATCCGATAAATTTGGCAGTCTTCGGCGATTCAACCTCACAGGATTAGCGTCGTCTTCTTTTTTGTTACACAAGATTAGGCTAATCAGATTAGCTTTATAACTCGCAGTAATAAAACAATAGTTTAAAAGCGCCATTGGTAAAAAAAAAAAAAAAACATTTTCCCATTAAAAACTGGAGATATCCATTTATTGTGGCAACTGCAACAAGCTAAGAACGAACGAAAATATAAAATACAATTTCAGTGGATTAAAAAAAGAAGAAATTCTATTTTTATCTAGCCCGTAGAACTGATGAGTCAAGAAACGGAGTTTCTCTCTCTAAAAAAAGTCCATAGAGAAAGAGAGAGACCCCGCTAAATCCCTGTTGGTGTAGTCTCTCTGCTCCTCTGTTTTTCTTCCTCTCTCTCATCTCCATCCACCCTGTCCGTTCTTTAACGCGTTCACGCGTATACTTGTCGCTTCTTCCTGCGTAACAACTATATATAACTACCCTCCCTATGCGCTTAATAGCAGGTGCAGAAAAAAATTAACCCTCTTTCGTTTTCTCTGCATCTGTACCCTCCCCTTTCCAAATAATCAATTAAGTAAAAGCCGAACATTTTTTTCTAATCTCTCCTCTGCCTCCGCCTCTCTCAGCTGAAAGAAAGATAAGATCAAATTCTCCAATAACAGAGGAAGAAACAAACATAAACAACGTTTAAGGAAAGAAAATGCCGTCATTGGAGGACGAGCTCTTCCCTTCTACCCCAGGCAAGTTCAAGATCGAGCGTGCACACAACATGAACCGTCAAGTTTATCGTTGCTTCGCTTCCACAAGCACCATGTTCTTGTGGGCCCTCTTCCTTATCGCTCTCACCGCCTCTTACCTCAGCTTCCAGAGCTTCGTAGATTCCGGTAGCCGGTATCTCTCCGCCTCCTGGGGCGGGATCCAGTGGGAGAAACAGGTTCGCACCTCAGCTCAGATCCACCGACAGGGTGGCATGTCGGTTCTCGTTACCGGCGCAGCCGGTTTTGTTGGCTCACACGTGTCCCTCGCTTTAAAACGCCGAGGAGACGGCGTCGTTGGCCTCGACAACTTCAACGACTATTACGATCCTTCTCTCAAGAAAGCGCGCAAGTCGCTTCTCAATACTCACGGCGTTTTCATCGTCGAAGGCGACGTTAACGACGCAAAGCTCTTAGCCAAGCTTTTCGACGTGGTTGCTTTCACTCACGTGATGCACCTCGCGGCTCAAGCCGGTGTTAGATACGCCATGGAGAATCCTCATTCGTACGTGCACAGCAACATCGCGGGCCTCGTCACGCTTCTCGAGGCCTGCAAATCTGCGAACCCTCAACCCGCTATTGTTTGGGCCTCTTCAAGCTCCGTCTACGGCCTCAACGAGAAGGTTCCGTTTTCCGAATTGGATCGCACCGATCGACCCGCGAGTCTCTACGCCGCTACCAAAAAAGCCGGCGAGGAAATCACTCACACCTACAATCACATTTATGGCTTGTCCATCACTGGTTTGAGATTCTTCACTGTGTACGGACCCTGGGGGAGACCCGACATGGCTTATTTCTCGTTCACGCGCAACATTCTTCAGGGAAAACCCATCACCGTCTACCGGGGCAAGAATCGGGTTGACTTGGCCCGGGATTTTACCTACATCGATGATATTGTGAAGGGATGTGTCGGGTCGTTGGATACTGCAGAAAAGAGTACCGGGTCGGGTGGAAAGAAGCGGGGACCCGCTCCGTATCGGATCTTTAACCTTGGAAACACTTCTCCTGTTACTGTGCCTACGCTAGTGAGTATCTTGGAGCGTCATTTGAAGGTGAAGGCGAAGAGGAATATCGTGGATATGCCTGGAAACGGTGACGTACCGTTTACCCATGCGAATATTAGTTCGGCCCGGAGAGAAATCGGGTACAAGCCCACGACCGATTTGCAAACCGGGTTGAAAAAGTTCGTGAAGTGGTACCTTTCGTATTACGGCTACAATCATGGCAAACCTGTAAATTAATTTTGTTTTTTGTTTCCCTTTTTTTACGGGAGGTATTTTTTTTTCTTCTTTTTTTAGTCTGGTAGGATTTTTAAACCACAGATATGGAGGTAAAATAACCAATCGGGAAAAAGAGAAAAGAAAAGAAAAGAAAGAACCTGGTCAAGAAGGGAAACGGGACTGAAAAAGAAAAGGAAAAGAGAAAAAAAATGAAGAATACATTCTTTACTTAAGAGGACAGCTAAAACAGCTGTTCCTTGGATGATTTCTTTTCTTTTTTGGTATTAATTGTTGTATTTTTAATTTTTTTTACATTTTCTTTTCTGTAAAGAAAGAAAGTTCAATTTAGATTTATTTCTTTCTATTATTTATATATTTAATTTTACTTTCTCATAAAGTTTTTTAGAGCCATAATGGGTTGCACCGTAATTTTCGTTTGGTTTGTTCGTTCATTCATCATAGCAACCTTATTCGATGTTTTAACCATCGAGCAATTTGAGCCCGTGTTTAAATTTAATTCAATCGAATAACAAAATTACTCACAGAGAGAAAGGTGGATTGTATTTTATTGCTAATTTATTTAGGACATAAAATATGAAATAAAGGTAATTTTTTTATGAAAAACAAATATTTATACATCTTTATAGCGATTATTTATTATTTACGCAAAATCAATTTTATAGAATAGTATTTTACTGGATAATAACAAGTAAAAAGGGTGGAGACAGCTAGGATGACAGGGACAAGTGGTGCAATGGCTGAGATACTGCTTTGATGGGATCCACATAGTAGTGGGAGCGTGGGACAGATAATTGTAGCCGTTGGATTTTGGGGAATAAGATGGATTTGTCCAGCTGTAAAGTATCTTACGTAGTATGAAGGGAGTGCAGTGATGGTGGGTTCAGGAAGAACACAAGTTTAGCTTGCCGACAGTGGTTTGAGACTTTGAGGGAAAAAAGAGGCATGATGGTGGATGGATGGCGTGGATTTAGGTGGATGTGGAAATTACCAGTGCTACATACTACATATTATGTAGCTCTGGGCTTTTCTGGTGGGTCCAATGCCATTGTTGTTGTTCTGATGTGAGTGTGACCCGGTTTTCTAAAATTTTTATGATGGAAAAATGGAATCCCATAGAGTTTGTCCATGTTATGCGAATTTGCTTTAAGTGGGACCCTTTGCAGGACTCATTTATTTACGTATTAATCATTGCAACTTTCAATGCTTGGAGTGTATCTTGTCTAAAATCCCATGTTAAGCATCTCCTTAATCTAATTCATGTTTTTTTTAATCAACGATACTACATCACATCCACCGACATGCTCTATGGGCCCATTTCGCATGTGAGTTTGTCAATCAACCAGCTACACAGATTACTCCTTTTTTTCTTAAAAAACAAAAGGAAAATATTATCATCATGTTTTAAAAATTAATTAATACTCTTAAAATACTTATTTATTAACATTTTCTAAACGTAAATATGGATATTTTGGGATGTTGATACTTATTAGCATTAAGCAACTTGTGCATTGTATCTAGTTATTCATAGCTATTAAGTAATAGCTGCATATCTTAGAGATGTGCGTTAAATAAAAGACGCTTTATTCACCGACCGATACGAAGTTCGATTGCGAAGCGTAAGGTCAGCTTGGATTGATTGACCAACTTTTGCGGTTGGTTGGTTGAAACTGTTAACTGTGTTTGGATTAATAAAAGGAAAAGGGGCAAAAGAGGGAAAGGATCATTTTGTTTTATAATTAGAGAACGAAAAAAAAAAAAACGACGTTTTGTAATATATTCTAAAATTATATTCGATCATTTGGAAATAAGAGGGAATTTATCAAAAACAAATTATATCTTTTATATATTAAGAGCATTTTTATTTCTCAACTTCACTGGAATATTTCTCCTTCTAAATGCTGAGATTTATTTCTCCTTCCACTAAAGTTCGATTCAATGGAAAACAAACAAGAACTGAGAAGAAAACATAAAACGTGGCTCATCATCTGTACTACGCTGTTGTCCTATACTAAAAACGAAAGAAAGAAAGCATAGAAATGTGAGAGAAGACATAATCTGGTCATCATTATTTAATGCTATACACAAAATTACAATAGATTCTTGTTTTTCATTTCGTTTCTTTTCTCTTTTTCAAGAACTGTGCTCAATTGAGTTAAATTTTTGTCCCTGCTCCTTGTACTCTATAGCTGTTGAATCCTTTCCCATTACAGGTGAAACGATTAATATCTCAGTTCTAATAAACGATAAATCTCTAATTCAACCGTGATTGTTAGCTGTCTTGTCTCTTGTTCTTCTGGTTCTTCTCACTTTTTGGATGTTTCTTTCCCCACAATAATACAAAGAGTAAACAATAAAATCACCATTTGGATATAAATGAAAAATACATTATTAGCTCCTGTTTAGGTGAAAATTCATAAATTTAAGCTTGAATGCTTTTAATTTTACCTTAAGATTAACTCATTTTTTTCAGATTTAGAAACTACGTAGATTTATTTTTTTGACACACGTCTTTTTAAAAGTTTGTGTGCTTTTTTTTTCAAGTATAGTTTGAGTATATTTCTATTTAAATTTTTACTTCGTTGTAAAGCATTCGAATAGACCCGCAAACTTAATAGCATAATACGGATTAAGCCTTTTAAGCAAATTATTGGATGCAGAATTTTAGATAGGTCAATCAAATTTTTTTTTTTCCATAACATAACTATGGGTTTATGCTAGTAAACAATAATTAGTAATACTCACAGTGAATGTGCATACAAACAAACTGTTAATTGGTAATTCGTTACAAATTAAATTGGCTCACTGAGACAAGTGAGCCTGTCTTAGCACCATTTCTTAACGTGAAAGGCATGGACTTTGTTTTTTGTGAATCAATTATCATGATCTCACCCCTTTCTCAAAACATGATGATGCTTGGGTAATGAAAAATTTAGACCTAAACCTACTTTTCTCGTGCATTATTTGACTTAAATATAAAGCGTCAATATAGATACATCACTTATGGCACTTTTTCATCTCCACAACAACCAAATGAAAGGAATCATCTCACCTAAGGTCAAACTAAAAGCATTTAACTTTGTTGACGAAAAAAAAAAAGCATTTAACTTGCAATCCTAATGCTAACAAGATTAAGGTATTGCAATTAAAACAGTAGAAAAATCAGTTTATCTTTCCATTTTCTTAAGATAATTATATTTCTACTTCAACATTCATACTACGTTTGGTTGAATATGATACAAAGGAAAAAAAAAGGTATTTAAATATTAAATGTATCTTGTTTGAAAAGAAGAATGCAAGTGGAAAGTAAGGAAAAAATAATAATAAATAATTAAATAATATTTTTATCTTTATAATTTGCGAATTTTGTAGTTCTAGTACTTTTTAGACGTTTTTTTAAGTTTTTTTATTTATTTTTAATCCTTATTATTGATTTACTTTACTAAAATGCTGTCAAATATCAATCTTTAGTTTGATTATATTGGCTAGAGAAAATAAAAATTTATTAAAATAATAGTCTAAAACAAATAAATTTGCTAAAATGCAAGAACTAAAAATGTGCAGAAGAAAAAACTCATAAGTATTGCAACAAAAGTGTTTTTTTTTTATCTATGACAAAAACATAAAAATTAAATTAAAAATTAAAGTATTATTTATATATTTAAAATTTCAAAATAAATATTTTATTTTAATTATTAATCACAAAAATAATGATTATTCATAACGTGTATTTATCACCATATCATTTTTTTTTCCAACTAAGTAAGATGAAAGAATACTTATTACTTATTTCTCGCATTTTCATCAAATAACAAAGAAAATATAATTTTTTTCGGTGTTCTCGCTGCATCACAACAAAACATTAGCGAGTACACGAATTTGGTTGCTTATGCCTTCTTTTCAGTGATATTTATTATTCACTGAATTAAATATCACTCTTTCGTGTGTTTTATAAAGTCATTATTTCAGATAACGTTATTAAAAATCAATTTCATCAATATTAAATCTTAAAATTGAGCTTAAGTATATGACAATAATATTTTATTAAAAAATGAATATTTGTTAAATTGAAAATACAAAAGTGTAATAAATAAATTTTAATAAAAATATTTAAATTCACCTTTAAAAACTTTAATTAATAACACTGTAAAAATATTATTAATATTTTTTATTTTCACTTTTCACTCTAATATAATTTTTAATTATTTTTTGTATCATTTTTGCTAAGATCATCTTTAAAAGGACTAACAACGACATGAAAATAATGTTCTTCTCTAGAAACGTTAATCATAGTGTCCAAGTCCAGATTAGCCAGGCCTTCAAGATTAAAAGAACTGAGGACTAAGGAAATATTTAGGTGTCCTCCTGCACCATCAAAGGGTATGTAAAAAAGACACACATACCAACCACATCCTGGGAAAGTTGAACCAATGTCTTGGCAATTGGAAGACGAGAAATCTCTCCTTAAGAAATATAAACGCGATCACAAGTGTTGGGAACTGTTCCAAAAGAACGTTACGGGGAGGCTGGTCAAGAAAACTAGTTGATTTTTGGCATGATCAAAGAGTAAGGTCCACAGGGGCGAAAAACTGCACAATATCTCTAACAACGAAGGACCTAGGGAAGAACTGTTGGAACTTACTTAACGAAGATCGTATTTGGAAGGCCCCAGTCTCTATTTTATTATTTTTCTAACTCTACTTGCGGGAAAATTTGTAGCTTTCTGCCCCCGTCAGGCGATAATGCTTTGGCGTGGAAATGGATTAGCGATGGAACTTTCTCCACTTCATCAACTTATGCTGTTATCTCAGGCACATAGAACATGCGATCTTCTCCTTATATGGGTGTATTTGACGATGGAGAGGCATGCTCATGTGACAATTAGTCGCAGGAGCTTTATTATCACTGCTATGATTCCCTTCACACGTGCACATTATTAGTCAGAGATAGATTTGTGCTTGTCCTGTGTGATAACCAGTTTGCGGAGTCTTTGGGAGCGATTTGTGCCAAAGTGACTAAAAGCGAAACTTCTTTACCCCCTACTTATGCTTGGATGTTAAGAGAATTTGTCACATAGCAGGGTGCATGACGAGGGATGCCCTTGGAGCAATATATTTGGAATCATAAAATTAATCCTAAAATTCATGTTATTATTTTAAAAATTATTTGAAATACATTTACAATATATTTTTATACTGTTAATATGTATAAATCATCACATTATTAAGAATTATTATGTTTATAATAATAACTTTTAAAATAATTATAATTTTTAATTAATTGATAATATAAAAATATTTATATTAATACTGTATCAAAATCAAACTTAACCTTTTTATTATTAAATTTTGATATTTTTAATATGTGTTCAGATCCATACAATGAAAAATTAATAAATAACATTTTTATTGATAATTAGATCATTAAATATTATTATTATATTAAGTTTTACAATTTTTAATAAAGAAATATTACATATAATTTTTGTATATGTTTTTATGTATATATTAAAAAAGTATATTATTTTTCTTTCAAAATTATATTATTTTTATTAGAAAATGAAAAGAGGAATGATAGTAAAAAGTTCCTTTAAATATATTCTTAATTTAATAACTTAAAATTTATTAAAAAAGTGTATTACAGTATTGGTACCTTTCCGCTCATGAAAATATGCTCCTCGGCGTTACCTCCCACTATTCCCAGTTCCAACTTCCACGGAATCTAGAGAGAAGTGAATCCAAAGAATTAGTGAGTGGGATGCGATTCACTCTACTTTTGCATCCGCTTCTTCCTTTTCCTTTTACCGCCATCCCTAAATTCAAATCCGTTGCACCATCCACACCGCCTTTCGCTAGGGTTTATCGCATGGCCACTGCACCTTCATCCTTGCCGTCGTCCGCTATCACCACCGCCGCCAACGCCCTTCCTCCAACTACTTCTTCGGCGGTTCACGAGGCTGCTCCTTCTGCTTCCTCTGCCATCGATTTCCTCTCCATATGTCACCGCCTCAAGGTACTTCTCCTGAAACGAAGTTTTTATTTTATAATGTACTTCTAAGTTTCTCAAAAGTCCCGGAGAAATTAAAGGAACGACGAAATTTTATTTTGAGTGCTTAAATTGTTAGTACGTGTAATGAATGTAATATAGTTTTGTCTGATTAACGAAATGCGACTGTAATGTAACGAGAGTTCGATCGGTTTTGTGCTATTTTGTCTTTCGCTTCTTCGGCTTTTTATTTATAGTCCTTTAAGTTGTTTGGTTTCTGTCTTTTCGATCCGAAATAGACAACAAAAAGAACAGGTTGGGTACGACGAGATGTTAAGAATCCAGAATCTATTGCCGATCATATGTATCGAATGGGTTTGATGGCTCTGATTGCATCAGATGTCCCTGGTGTAGACCGAAACAAGTAAATCCACCTCCCTTTTTCCTCGGATGTATCTATGTTTATTAACGACCGCCTTTTTTAGTGCACCTGATAACAATGTAATGGGAGGTAGGTTTTCTGAAACTTGTTTGTCTGTTAATTTTCAGGTGCATAAAAATGGCTATTGTTCATGACATTGCAGAAGGTATGCTGATTTGCAGCTTGCTTTCTGCTGTTGTCCGTGTCTGGTATGAATGGTTTTGTATGCGCATAAAAGTGTTCTGTATGAATAGTATCGTGGAAAAGTGGCTGAATATTTCTGGAAAGTAATAATTTGGGGAAGTGTAAATAAATTGAAATAGTGGAAGAGACCAAGTGAATAGGGCAAGTTTAGGTTTGAATTTTGAATATAGATTAGTTATGAGGCTATGGTTTTGTAGATGGAAACCCTGACAGCAATAAGTTTTTCTATGATGTAAATTGATAATTGATCTAGAAACTAACATGCATGCACACACATGCCTGTCTCCTTGTCATTATGCTGATTTCATGTTATGTTCGGCAAGAACTTGGGAAACGCCTGAACGACCAAAAGCCCACAGAATGAATTTGGACTACATAATTCCAGCTGTGATTTGATGGATAATTGCGTTAAAAAATTCAAAATGCAATTGTTACACATATTTGCTCTTATTAAAGAAGCAGCTTTTCCTCATATTTTGTTCTTAGAAACAGTTTTTCGGCTTTCAAATTGCTAGAAGCTTTAATAAAAGAGTACTGTTATGTTGTTACACATATTTGCTCTTATTAAAGAAGCAGCTTTTCCTCATATTTTGTTCTTAGAAACAGTTTTTCGGCTTTCAAATTGCTAGAAGCTTTAATAAAAGAGTACTGTTATGTCATCTTTTGTCTCTTCTGATTTCAGAGCCATGATTTCATTTCCTTTTGGTGCTTTGTTTAATAGCAATTGTTGGAGACATAACACCAATGGATGGAATTTCAAAAACAGAAAAGAGTCAACGAGAACAAGCAGCACTAGATCATATGTGCAAAATACTTGGAGGAGGATCTACAGGTACTTCTTTTACACTTTGTAAATAAGTTTGTTAACATGAGAATATAGAAAATTCACATCTTTTTGTTTTCAATTGAATTGTTATATTGAAGCAAAGGAAATAGCTGAGTTGTGGATGGAGTATGAAACAAATTCTTCTCCAGAAGCTAAATTTGTCAAGGACCTTGACAAGGTTTGTGGCTTTTTCTGCTATGTTGTCTTTAATGAAGCACATATGGGCTATACCTTTCAACTTATATATATATATGTATGTATGTGTGTGATCTATACCCTCTAGGGCCTATGGGAGTCCCTGTCACTAGATTGTTCCCTAAGTGGACCAAGGGATTCCCCTTAGGGGCCCAGGGACTGAGGGAGAGAAACAGGAATGGGAAAGGGAACAGGGATGTGGGGGTGTTGAATCCCCTCCTTGGAATTTTGTTCTGTATCTTCTTGTCCTCATTTTTAATTTAAATGTAATTATTTGATATGCTTTTCTTTTTCCCAAAGGGGTTGGGATATGTTACATTTGGACCTTTGTGGATTTAAACTTGTGACTTTATAGGAAGAAGCCAAAATAACAAGTAGATAGTATATATTGTTAACGTTCTGTCAAGCAGATGATTTTAATTCATTTATGATGATTGTTTAGCATTTAGACCTGGAAGTAAAATATCTTTCGTTCTTGCCATGTGCACAATTAGTTAACTCTGATTCTATAAATGTTATCCATACAGGTGGAGATGATACTCCAAGCTTTGGAATATGAAGATGGTGAGAGGATTTTTTTGAAATTTACTTTTCTTGATACTTTTCCACTCTATTATAATTATGTACAGTATTTGTTAAATCATGTGAGTTGTTTGTCAATCTTCAAAATTTCTGCAATATTAATATATATTTTAGCAAGAAACTTATGCTAGCGATGTTAAATTTAGGACATGTTAAAATTTGTTGTCTATAGGCTATTACTACTTACTAGTGATAAATTATATTACGATAAGGATGATGAAGATTATTGACTTGAATTTAATTGTGCATTCATATTTTTTACTCATGTCATATAAGTGTGCAATTCTTAATCTGTGTCATGTTACACCTTTTTGATAGAATTGCAAAAATAATGGCATTGTAAGTCTCTTGCATTAGATTCAATACAAATTATAGATTCTATTCTGATACCTGCTTATATGAGGAAAAGTATTGAATTTGGTTACTTCTAAATTCTAACAATATAATATATATGAAAATGTGGTTTGTAGAACAATGCTAGATTTGTCCTCCCAGAGAAATCATTAAAAAAGGTTACCTAAGAAGCACATCTATAATTGTTTTATATTCCGGTACACGATGCATTTTGAGTTTAAAATTTTACTCGTGCTACAAATGCTGGAATGAGTGGGTGTTTTGATTGCCATTTTCGTTTGTGGATTTGTTACCATGTAGTAATAATCCTTATGGTAATCTTTTTTTTTTTTTCCCATGGACATCTGATAAGATATGGTAATCTTCTCCATGTTCTGAAATTTGTTGTCTCCTGACTTTTTGCAGAGCAAGGGAAGGATTTGGATGAATTTTTCCAGTCAACTGCTGGTATACTCTAGCTCATGTTCTTTAGTATTATAACGTCTACTCATTTGTTTAAATGTTTCTTGATTGGCTAGGCATACACCACCTATAGAGCAAGTATAATACCATTGAGGCATAATTAACCATCTCATGATAGGGGCCAGGTAGGCAGGTACTACAGAGGCATAATTAGGCCAGTTTTAATGCAAATCTGCACTTCAAAGTGTGATTTATTAGTCTGTGGTCTGAAATTGAATGATGGAACTTGGGCTAATAAATATCGTGGTGTTCGTTATTAAAAAGGTATTCCACGTTAATCATTTTTTTATTTGCCTTTTTTTTTGGAACAACACGTGATGCCTCAGTAGTACCTGGTTCCTAACATGAGATGGAATGTCATGACATTCTAAAATTTAACTTTCTGAGTTGCTTATTTGATCTGGGGATCAGTCCTATGGATTCAATCTTCTGCATATTTTGTTCAGCTGGTAAAAGTTGAGCACTAAAGACAAGATGAGGGGGCAGAAAAGAGTTGACCATGTGTTGGATGGATTTTTCATTTCTTAACGTTGTATCAGTTATCTTGCTTTTATGATTAATTAGTGTTGATAATGTATTGGAGAAACACTTCTGCAGGGAAGTTCCAAACTGAAACTGGCAAAGCTTGGGCATCAGAAATTGTGTCGAGAAGGAAGAATAAATAATCCCCAGGTATGGAAAGGCCTGGAGGGGATTTTATTTGGTTTGATATTGGTCTTCCTTTTAACTTTGTTCTTTTGGTAGTTGTAGAATGAATGAGAATCTTAGGTGGTAGAGGTATAATAACAGCGGCAAGTGTACGGACCACCTAAAAACGGAATGGTAGCTGTGCACGAAGCAGCATATAGGGCACGATTTACCCAGGATATATAATATCATCTATCCATATAATCAAATTTGTTCAACTATGTCTCACTTTCGTCATTTCTCATTAAAATAAGTGGACGGAAACTATAGAACTTGTTTTATTGGTCCAGAAACTATTAGACTTTAAAGAGATGGATCCATATGGGTAGATTTTACTGGCAATGGGGAAGTTTGAAACTCGTGAGAAGTATCTTGTGGCAAGAGTCAAACCAGATGGTACAGTGGTGACATTTTATGGTTTGTTAATTAATGAATATGCAAATCCAATTTTAGGAAAAGTGTTAAAATACATAAGGTGTATATATCTAGTAAAAGAGAGAAGGTACTGTGTAGATGTATTAAAATCAAAACATTTATTCTAGGTTTTCAGAAAAGGAAGCCCATTTGGGCATGGGCCAGCTACAGCTAAAAACACAAAGGCATTGTAAATTTGAATTTCAAATTCTTGAATTTTTTTTTTCATATATATCTAAAACACAAAGGTGTATATATCTAGTAAATTCTTGAATTTCAAATTCTTGAATTGTAAGTTTTTGGAAACAAATTTAATTCAAAGTTAACTGGTTAAATATCACCACGCAGTTCTGCGTGACAATTCTTTCATGTTATTAACCTTTAAAAAATCTAGAAAAATAGGATTACAAGTAATTAACGAAAAAGGAAAATTACAATTTTAAGTGGATAATTTATGTTTCGAAGTTTATACTTGAATGCAAAAGCATTAAAGATGGTGACAGATGTTTAAACCCAAATCTAAATAAAGAGTTTGATTTCTTAACGACAATTGCTAATCCTAGTCTTACAAGCATTGTTATTAGTTAAAGAAATACAAATAAAAGCGTTTTATCATAGAAAATATTTATTTTATTAAAATTAATACATATATATATTGTTTATTTTTTAAATAATTAAAAAAATTAATAAAACGCGGTCATTTTCTTATTTAATAATCATAAGGTCAGTTTCTTTAAACTTTTGTTCCGTTAGAACAATAAGACTCATCTTATTACTACTAATTATGATATAAAAGCCAATGGTATAATTATGTTTTCTCATATTTTTTTAATTAAACCAAAGAAAGAAAATTGATCATTTGTTTACCTCAATCCTAAGCACGACATTCTTTTTTAAGTTTATTTCGTTTTAAATTAACAAGAATCATACAAAATTAAATCGTATGTAATAATATATTAGTTATTTTAAATTTTGTATTTATTTTGCACAAGTATTTAAAATAGAATGAAAGAACATTAATAAAATAAAAAGCTAGTTCAATCATCTGCAATTAGTTTTCTCAAAATTAAATATATTTAATAATTTTAATAATATTGTATAAAGCTTTAAATAGTAATTATTTTAAAACGGAAAAATCAATAACCCCCAAGAAAGGGAATGTCTTTAAGTATTCCTTTTTAAATTATTTCTATCTTAAATACTATTGTTTTTTCTTTTATTTATTATGGTATTGTTTTTCTTATTGATCAAACCAATGCTTAAAAAGTTATACAAATATTATGTTGACAAAATAAACTAATAAATTAGTTAAAAGTTGAAAGCTAATTTTTTTTTACTATTAGCTTATTAAATTGCAATCATTTAATAAAATCACCTATTAAACTAGTTAAAAATATAAAAAAAAAGATAACCTAAAAGAATATGTTTATATATTATATAAAAATTAAATGCACAATTTAATGACTCGCCAAATAGACAATTTAATTAAATAAAAGTCACAATAGTATTATTAAAGTGAAAATAAATACTCGTGAAATTAAATACCAAGCTTAATCGGAGATTGTGGACCCAAAAACCCTTAATTGAAGGTCATGAAAAGATTTAGTTAAAAGTAATCTGAACCAGTGTTCTTAATAATGTTAAAGAATTACAAATATTTTTATTAAAAATTTTATCTCTATAATTTTTAATATATATGTTAATAAAAATGTAATATTCGTTAATTACTTGACATCATCGTATTGGTTAGGAAGTTTTTTTAGTTAAATAAAGGAAAAAAGTGAAAAAAAATTCCAATGAATCTGAAACACACGCTGAGAGGAACGTTGCATAAATGCGAAGAAACTACAGATAGGATCATTCTCTTCCCCTTGCAGCATGTACTGTTTTTTCCGGAAGTGGACAAAAACTGAATTCGTTGGGAATGGGCGCGTAAAAACAAGGCCACTCTCTCCGCAGTTTCAGGCCTCTCATACTTTTCCCGCTTGACTCTCCCAACACCAACTCTCTCCTCTGCATCAATTTCAAAGCCTTTCACTTCAGCTTTGAACGTAAATCTGAATCCCAATCAAATGGCCTCCCTTCGTATTCGTTCACTTCTTCCCCTCCGTTTCTCCATTCACGTATTCCTCTCTCTTCCTCACACGCTTCAATACTATCACTCATTCAGTCTTATGTTACTTACTCAACGCTTATTCTTTTTGTTTTCCTTTCTCGCAGGCGACGCTGCTTTCATCTTCTCCACTCCAGCAAGGTCTTTTTATTTATTTTCCCTTTTTAACTCATTTTCAAATATTTATAGTAATATATATGATGCTTTCTACCTGTTTGTTTCTTTTTCTTCTCTAAACAAGTGCTAGAAATAGCCACACACAAAAAGTTGCATTACGTGAGACCCTGTTTAGCTAAACCTTGCATGCTTTAGGGATTTCTATAGGCTCTCGAAGCTACAGCGTCGTTGAATCGTCGGAACATTGTGCATTGAAGACTGAGTGTGAGGAGATAGCCGCGCTCCGTCGCGAATTTGAAGCCGCTAAACAGAGTTTTATCAATATGCCCGATGCGCTCAGAGAAATGCCGAAAATGAATCCTAAAGGTTCCTTGGTTGGTTTATTGCTTCGAAATTTCTTTTTGATATTGCTTTGTTTACGAGAATTGATTTTTTTTTTTTCCATTTTTTCGTGTGTCGGATTAGACATATATGTGAATAAGAATTTGAGATTGGACAATTTGCAAGTTTATGGATTCGATTATGATTACACGTTGGCGCATTACTCGTCCGATTTGCAGACTTTGATATATGACCTTGCCAAGGAGTACATGGTTAATGAGGTTAGCTCTGACCAATGTGCTTCTGCTGCTTCTTTTTCTGACCGTGGTTCGTGGTTCCTTTCTTACTTGTCTCGTTGCTTCTTTCAGTTTAGGTATCCGGACATTTGCATGAGTTTTAAATATGATCCAACTTTCCCCATTAGAGGGCTATATTATGATAAGTTGAAAGGGTGCCTCATGAAGCTGGATTTCTTTGGTTCAATTGAGCCAGATGGATGCTACTTCGGTAGACGCAGGGTATTTGGCACTTATATGCATCGTATTTGGCTTTTAACATTTTATTAACTATGTTGGAGTTTTTTAGACTGCATAATGGGCATATTAAATGAAATATTATTGTTAAAATGTTTTTTACATAAATTTCTTCGAACTAATTTTTCAGCTAAGCCAAAGGGAAATCCGTGACATGTATGGCACACGGCATATTGGTCGTGATCAAGCTCGATCACTAGTTGGTTTGATGGATTTCTTCTGCTTTAGTGAGGTTAGTCTCTGTTATCCTGTTATTCAACAATAATTTCTGCTTTCGTAATTGGAGAAATCTCCTGGGTAGGTATATCATAAAGGCATATACACAAATAATTGACTGTCATCCACATACCATATTCAGCGTTCATCCAGGATGGCCCTGCTGCAGTATCTTTCTGTGTTTTGAGCCCAGTATACCATAAGAAATAGACATATGATGTGGAGCAGAGTTAGATCTTTGTTTATCACTATCCTGTAAAAGATTAAGAATAGCACCAGAAGGCAGGATTATATCATCTTATTTAATGAAGAACAGGACTTATATAACATGTAAAGAAAACAGAAACAAAAATTATCTGGAAGTAACTCAATAAACTTTGTTCATTTAATGGTCAATTTGTTTGTGGTTTTTTTCAAAGAAAAAAATTATATTTTTAATTAAAAAACAGTTTTTTTTTAATGATTAGATAAGTTTTTTTAAAAAAAAAAAAATCAAAAAAATTATTTAGGTGCTTTATTGCTTTTCTTATAAGCTAATAAGAGTAGCTTATGCGAAGAAGCTCTAAAGAAAGGCTACATCTTAGAAATGCTTTTTTCAAAAGTTTATCTAGATGCAAGCCTTAAAGGGACCTGATCTAGTGTATACAATCTTAATTACTCTCGCCTCTTCAATTGGCCATTTGGTTTGCTGTTGACTGTTACACTAAGTTGATAAAAACAACAATGCTGGTTTCCTTCAGGTTAAACTCTGAATGTAAGATCTGTTTTGCATAGGTAAGCAGGTCTCTCAGGCTGTTAAGGGTTAAGCTATATGCCTACCACCAAGGGAGGAGTGTATTAGCAATTTTTTAAAATTATAAAACTTAAATTATAGCTTTAAGGCCAAATTCCTATAATAGAGTTGATCCCTTTGAGATTTGAAAATTCTGACCATATGAATGAATCTGTGTTTTGTCATAAATACAATGAATAGCAATTAAATATTTACACAAATCATAATGTCCCTTAGTACAAATTTCCCTGTTTACACAATATATTACATGGTTACCATATTTCTAGCAAGTTAAAATTCCTTTTTTAATTTCATTTGGCTCTCTTGTGCTGTCTTGTGAAGTCTATTCCCACCTTAAATCTTTTGTTGAGAACTGATTGTTTGCATCATTGCTCTGTAGGCATGTCTCCTTGCAGATATAGTGCAATACTTCGTTGATGCTAAGCTAGAATTTGACACTTCCTACATTTATGAAGATGTTATTCGTGCAATTGATCATGTCCACCGAAGTGGCCTGGTTCATAGAGGAATTCTTGCTGATCCACAAAGATACTTAGTGAAAAATGTAAGTTGTCCTTACATGTGTTTAATAGATGCTGCGATAAGTGGTCTACAATATGAAGGAAATTTGTTTTGGGATCTAGTATCTTAATTCAGTTAAATTTAATGGGTGAATATTTCAGGGAAAGATATTACGTTTTCTTAAGATGCTAAGGGAGCGAGGGAAGAAGCTTTTCTTGTTGACTAACTCTCCTTATTTCTTTGTGGATGGAGGGATGCGTTTTATGTTAGAGGTATTTGATTAACAGGAATTCATATCATGCATTTTGTATGTATTATGGATTGTTTTTTTTGTCTTCATGTGCCAGTTGGAGTTAAGTATATTTTTTTTCGTATTCTGGAAACTGGTATTACCCAATTATTGCCCACATGGCATGGAAATCATATTTGGGCTCATTGATTCACGTGTGTAGGTGGAATAATAAATGCAGTTGGTCATAAGACTCATAACTAATATGATGATTGTCATTTACATTCAGATTATGAAAAAGTCTAGAATGGAGATCAATCATACATACTTTTCAGTTTTCTTGATGATAACATGCATTGTTTTATTTTAGTAACTTGTAAGGAAGAATAGATATAATCTAACTTCATCAGAAAATTCTGGAGAAATGGGAAGTTGTGGTTTTATTCATTATTGTAAAGACATACGTATCCATAGACCCTAGGATAGTACACACATGCTAAAACAAATATGTAACTGCATGTTCTTCTGTTTGTATTAGAAATTTAGAAGGATACCATATCCTCTCTATATCTTCTGTTCTTTATTTGAAGTTTTAATAAATTATTCTTGATTAGGGAAAAATGTAAAATCAATTATGTCTGTTAAGTAGTTGTGTCTACTTGTGTAGTCTGCATACATCAATTCTCTACTTGCTCATGATGTCATTACTTCTAGCCACTTAATATATCTTGGTTTTTCTCTGCAGCCTAACTTAAGTTATTTCACTTACAATCATTTAGTGATTTGGAGTACAAGTATCATGTTTTAGGATATTTTCCTCTCGCTCTCATTGATGAGAGGATGAAATTTACTTGAAAATTAGCTTGAATGTTTTTGAGGGAGTACCAGCTGTATGATGGATTTATGTTAAAATATCATTATACATATTAGTTATATAGTTAACAATGACACTGGCAGTCAGGTCTCTTTTAATTATTTAGTTCAAAGTTCCTTGCTTGGTTTTAAATGTAATTTTTGTGGTTCATGATTGTTTTCCACTTTTCATAACTGGACATAATTTCCTTGAGTTTATTCTTGAATGTTGATTAGGATTCTATGGATTGTAGAGACTCCTGGACGGAGCTGTTTGATGTTGTGATTGCTAAGGCCAATAAACCACAGTTTTATACATCTGAGCATCCATTCCGGTTTGTATCCTATGTGATATGGTGCTTGCTTTCTATTTTCCAACTTAATTCTTCTTATTCTGATTTATTTTAGTACAGATATTTGGGTTTACATTTTGCTATATTCCTTTTATTTTTTTATTATAAGGGGAAATGGAGCATATGATTTAGAAACAAATTAAGTTTAGCATATGTAAGTTGCTCTCTTTAGGTAGGCAAGTTAATGTGTATCATGTTCTTTTGCCTGGCCTTTTTTTCCTATCATTTGTTTTTATTGCCATCTCTTTGAAATCTGAGTTTCTATTCTTGAATTTCAATTCTTTGGAAGGGTCTTAAGTATCATCAACTCCTCCATGCAGTTGTTATGACACACAGAAGGACACATTAACTTTTACCAAGGTTGATGAATTTCTTCCAGATAAAATTTATTATCATGGGTGCCTCAAATCCTTTCTCCAAATTACCAAGTGGAATGGCCCAGAGGTATGCTATATTTGATGTTTGATAAACCATGTATTTCTATTTACTTACATAAATTTTGCAATAAGTTTTAACTATGAAGAACATACATATTTTGACATAAACAATCTTTCACACGGAGCCCCTAGATTGCTAAAATTCACAATTTTCATTAGGTGATATATTTTGGAGACCACCTATTTAGTGACTTGAGAGGGCCCTCAAAGGCAGGTTGGCGCACAGCAGCAATCATCCATGAACTAGAGGCATGTCTGCCATCCACTTTCATGTAGATTTTAAAACTTGCTTGTCACTATCTGTCATGACATCTTATAGATAGATAAGAGTAGGCATTCCTCCTTTTATGGGATTCATATAACTCCCTGGCAAACAGGCATGAAAATGCTCTTCTATATTTTGTTTGCTTACTGCAACTATAAACAAGTTTAGACATTTTGTATGGTCAGGCTTCCAATGAAGTTTGTTCCTTTAACAGCGTTCATGATGGATCAGTCATACTTACTTGTGCTTTGTGAAACAGAAACCTGAGTCCTATATCATCTGGGTGTAAAGTGTGAAATATGGACTCATTTATATTTGAGGCTCTCCCCTCTTATTAGTCTAGATTTTAACTGTGGGTTATCCTCTACATCAAGTGGCACCATAGCTTGTTTTACCCACTGCCATTGTGTATGAACCACTCTTTCTTACTTGCCCATGCTGAGTGGGAGTGTGAGTCCCATATTGTTTGGGTGTAAGACACAGCTCCATTAGCAAGCGCTTCTCTCTTATGAGCCTGGCTTTTGGAGTTGGTTACTTGATTCTCTGCATTATTTTTCTTTTTTGTTATTCAGTTGTTATTATATTATATTGATAACTTAGACAATGACATTATATGTATATTGCCAAATAATTTTTACTGTCATTTATATGACAGCTGAACTTAAGAAAAGTAGAACTCACTGTCTTTCTGTGTTGGTAATGATGGTGGTGAATGTTTAGAACCATAGTAGTTGAATCTTCAAAGTGCCTGTTGGTTACACAGTTGCTTAAGATGAATATGAATCTTCATAGTACCTGTTCGTTATGCAGTTCATAACTGGTTGATATAATTATGTTTGGCAAATTTGAAGTTAAATTATGCTTGCAGAATGCTTTTTTGAATTGATATATTTCTTCTTTAGGCATTGATGCATGTAGAACTTTTGTCATAGTTAACATGAGAAACATCGACATATTTATGTGGAGTGCGTTTTGTTAATAATGCAGAGCGAAATACAAATCCAAAATGAAGATGGCTACCGTTTTGAGCAGGTACCTTCATATTTTTGCTCAAACTGGCATTATCTCTTTGCAACTTCTTACTTTCTTAGCACATATACTATAGATGGTTTCCTGTTACTTTCCCTAAGTGGGTTGTATTGAAGACTCGGCAACTAAAAACTAGTTTATTCATGTGTTTAGAGCTCGGGGGAGGAATTATTCAGAAGAATCTTGGGAATAATAGTTCATGAAATTGTTCTTACTTGCATAGGAAGATTTATCAATTACTATAAACACGTTTATTATTTTCCCTAGATTTAAATGGTCATCTACTTATTTGTTAGCTTTTCTTAGTGAGCATTGGCAATAAATTATTTATTTTCACTGTACTTATCCTTAAGGCGTGAGTAGTAAGTAATAATATGTTAACAATTTGGTGGAGATTGAGCCGATGTCATGACTATAAGCCCATTTTAAACCTTGCTATATGTTATACATGCATGATCGTAATTGTAAAGTTGACAGACGAATTAAAAATGAATATGCCCTTACACCGTGAAATGCTAGAACTAGAGCTTCTTTTTTGAAAAATAAGTAAAATCTAGGTCGTCCTCCAGTTAGTTTTTCTTCTATTCGTGTACTTGCTTATAAGTTGTAAGTTGTAACTTAATGGTAACACATCCCTGTTTTCCACTTAAAATCCCTTTTGTTGTGGAACCTATGGAAGTTAGTACAACCACACAAATGGTTCATTGGATTTGTGTCATACATTTAAATTTAATATCATTGAGAAAAAGGTTAAGTCAACAAGTTTTTATATAAAGGTTCTAAAATCACAATTCTCCGTTTTGGTTGATTATTGAGTATAATTGCTTTCTTCAACTACTTTTAAAGCTGCCACATTTTATGCATTGTATCCTGTTGAACAATGCAGGCAAAGTTTCATATTATACAGGAGCTACTTGGTAAGTTGCATGCAACAGCAGCTAATAGTCTGAGAACTGCAGCTTGCAATTCACTTCTGGAAGAACTTAATGAGGAAAGACAAAAAGCACGCAACAAGATGAAGATGATGTTTAATAGATCTTTTGGAGCAACATTCCTCACTAGCACAGGACAAGAATCCGCTTTTGCTTATAACATTCATCAGTATGCTGATGTTTATACCAGTAAGCCAGAGAATTTTCTTCTGCATTCACCTGAAGCATGGCTTCATGTTCCCTTTGATGTCAAAATCATGCCTCATCATGTGAAGGTAATCCATTTCTTCTTCATAAAAGTTGTGACTATCCACTTCTTTGTTGTCCCGTGCTTCTGTTTTTGGGTTTATCATTTTTTAAAGCTCTGTTTCTTTCTGCAGAATCGTGGATTTGTTGAGATATAAACTTTAATTGTCTTGAAACTTTAGCCATTGAAAAACACAGAACATTCCTTGTAATTTAATATTTATATAGTTATGAATGATGTAAAATAAATGGAGAATTGCCAAGTTCTTACAGTAATATAGTCACCAGGTATTTTAACTTCTTCCCATGACTGAACTTTGTTCCACTTTTTGGGGACTAAATTCTGTCAACTTGTTAGTACCTTACATATACTGGCTGCCATTTTTCAGTAGGTTAATAGTTGATGAAAACATGATGTAAGGATTTATTAATCACTCTCGGTAGGGAATGCCACCCAGTTTTAGCGTATTTTAGTTTGATTAATACCTCAGTGGTTTGACAGTTCGCAAAGTATTCATCTTTTGGATGATGATGGATTTGCATGCAGTACATGAATAATATTATATATTTCTAGCTTCCTCCTGCCCTGTATTCTATAACTCCTTGTTTATCCCCTTTTTTTTTTCAGGTTCCGTCAAGCTTGTTCAGAACCGGATGAACGGTCTTCGAAATCATTCAATCTTTGTGACATTCCGTCGTTCTAACTCATGGAATAATGATGTTGCAATTCTAGTAAGTATTCACCAGTGAGAGGTGCAACTGGAAGACAGTTATTGCGGCAGTAACGTGCATTCGATTATATTCTTTTTGTTCTTGATTTCGTCTTTTCATCGTGACGTTGCTGACATTGCCTGGTATGCATCAATTGATTATTAATAGAGAAAGAAATTCATAAAAATGAAAGCCCCAATACATAGAAAAGGGTTTATTTCCTTATGGTTCATTTTAGCAAGAAAAGTAAAGGCTTAACTGCATTATTTGTTTATGATTGACGAAATGTATTTCAGCACTTGTGGTATTTTGAAATTACTGAAAGAAGCAGAGTCTTCACCATTTCAATGACTGCTAATACTGTGAAGGCAACTGCTGCTTATCAATGACAGCATGTAGTTTTGTCGCTCCTCGTACCAGAAACTTACTACGTCCCACTGCGAATTCATTCTCGACTGAACCTGAGAATTTCGCATGTGCAGTATTTGCAACATAGAACAGCAAGGGTTGTACTTGTGAGGGTCATAGATTTTAAGAATTCTAATCCTTTTGCAGACAATAAGCACTTTCTAATCTGTCCTTGCTTAGGCTATCTGTTTTACTTGAAACTCAGTAGCACAGATCGTTCTGCTTTCACTGAAATACGGTGGTCGGAAAAAAATAAGACAAATTTGTAAGAACTTCAAAAATCGGAATTGCCCAATTATGTGAGTAGGAGAATTCAGCTTCACTCAATATTTAAAGTGAGAGGAGTAAATGTTATCAATTACCGATTTGAATTTAAGCTTTTTTTTTTTATATACAATTATTTTTTAAATAAAACTTAAATAGGGTTTACTTTTTTACTTTATTTTCATTTATGTCCAATTGATGTCGTGTTAGATAATGTATTTATTATTTATTATAATTTTTATAGTTTTTAATAAATTTTAATTAATAATAATTAAATTTTATAGAATGCATTTTAACACTACATTTTTTATGTAAGAGTTAAAATATAAGATTTTGTATATAGATATTAAAGTAAACAATAACGTTGATGTATAAATTTAAACAATTAGTGACAAATTCATTCATGAGGAATTGACTTTACTATTTTTTTTAATATATGTGATATAAAACGTAACACATTTTCTAGAAAAAAAATAAAAAATACGCAACACATCTCTAATAGTTATTAAAAATTAATATGACACGGAAGATAGTTAAATTAATTAACTTTAACAATAAATGTTATTTATTAAGCTGAAAAATTTAGTTGATCTCGTGTTAATGATATAGTTAAATAATTATTTGATTGCTTATTTTTAAAAAAATTACAGAATAAAATTGAAAATTCTTAATATTTCTAAAATATTGTTAGAATGTATGGAAATATAATATGATATATACTACTACTATATTTCAGATCTTGAATTATCCTCTGAGATTGGTTTTCCTATTTTCTCATCTCTTGTACTCAAGGTTCTTATATAATATATCAAACATATTAATTTAATGTTTCATTCTCTTCTATCTTTTTTTCTTCTTTTATATTTGAAACCTCACAATTTCAACACGGTATTAAAACAGCACCGTCCTCTGTAACCCACCATGTCTCTACGTTGATGAGGAGTTTTCACTACTTTCTGCTATATGGTTTCTTTTGAAGAGTTCAACCACTTACAACCATCTCCTTCTTTATCTTAGCCTCTGCCATGCATTTTGTCCTCATATTGTGTCTACTTTTTGGCAATTCACGATCGTGTGTAGAAATATACAAATATACAAATTTATAGAAAATAATTATGATGCATATTCATACTTGCGATAATAAAGTTCAGTATATTTTAATGACATCCATACGTACATACATAACACCTGTTTGTATTGCCAGAGTGAACCCACATAATAAAACTCAGATAGCGGAGTAATAGAGTGAAAGACGAAATAAAGGCCCGATATAAAATTTTGCAGGCTAAATCTAACCATACGTATTGCTGGTCTAGACACCTCTGCACTTCAATGATCAAAGCACTCAAAGGAAACGAAGCAATTGATCTGGGTAAGAAAGGTTCCATGTAGCATGTTGATTATAGGACGCAAAAGTTTCAAAATTTGTGTATGCGCAGCAGGTTTAGACCGACAAGTGTAGGGTACTAAAGTTATTATTATTATTTAAGCTTGATGAACCCAATAATGTCTTCCTTGTTGAGTCGTCCCCATTCTGTACCGCCGCCCGTTCAAACCAACTCTTCCATTCAAGTTCCCTAGCCTCCATTATGGTGTACAAGAAGAAATGGGTGCCAGCAAAGGTAGACGCGTCCATTTTGTAATGAATGGTTGATTGTTAAATACTGAATGTACTTCTTATAGGTTAAGCATTTTAACTTTAAAATATTAACATATCTATGACTATTAGATATATTGTTGCTTGGTACACAATCTTTCTGGCGAGAGGAATATATTTATCAAGCCGAATGTACCAGCATTCATGTTACTTTTTTCCTTGCAAAACATTAATCAACAAAAAATGTAGTTAGCAAGACCAACATTCCATTTCAACTGTTTGAACTTTTGCATTGTATCACTCAATTATACCATATTTTGGGGTAATGCTAGTAACTATTTGATACTAACTGACACATCTCTCGCTGTGCAGGGGTAAAATCTAATGGTCTGCAAAAGGCGTTTATTTTTTTATTTGAAATTATTGGTTGTTCACAATCATTACTCGTTTTATCCCATTTTCAATCGGTATATGCTACCAACAATAGTAGATAAACCAAACTGGTAAGAGGTTTTGAATCCCTTCTTCAAGCTTCAAGGACATTCTGATCCACACTTTCTTTCTTTTCTGCTAACATGGCAGCATGATGCTCCAAGTATTCCCTGCTGTTAATCTCTGTCAGTCTGCATCAAATTAATGTCACAAAATCAGTAGTGGCAACGTACACATTTGCACAGGAATAAGTGCTTCTCTAGGTATCTTAAATTATCAGTATGTTTGGATACAGCACGAATCGGAGTTTCACAAAATTGAAAATAAGTGCTTCGAGAAAAAGGGCCTCGCAAAGTGTGTTTTTGTATTGAAAACTATATAAACTCGTACGTATGTTGCTTTTTAATTCGTACTTCTTAGTGAAGCTTATGTTGCTTTTTTGTTCTCACATCTTAGTGATGCTACTACAGAACGTGTTCTAAGATGGTAACTGGCCTGGTAACCAGACTAATCGGCTGTAATGATGGGGAGCCTGGGGACTGCGGCTACAAAGCCATACCTGCAACCTGTGAATCTCATCCACTCGGGGCCTCTTTGCAACTGACTCCATACCTATTATATATACAAGCATCCTTCCAGGTAAAAGCGCATCCAATTTCAATTGTATTGGTGGTATCTACCTGAATCTCTACAGTTTGTTCCTTATCTTAGATGCTCTAGATAAGTTGACAATATAAATAATATTAATGTGAGAGATTCCAACTCTCATCAGTTGAGTCGGCAAAACCAAATCAAAATTGTCATGAAAAGTAATTAATAAGTTGTTTTCTATGGAGACATAGCGTACCTACTAATTGTGCGGTCTTTTGCAAACCCCAGTTCATTGTCCACACAAAGGTCAGCCTCGTCATTTTTCCTTGATCTTGAAGAGGTTCTGGGTGCCATCTGTTTAGCCTCAGATATTGTTACTACCTTTTGAAAGAGATCTTGAGGGCTCCCATCAGCTGTACATAATAGTCTGGCCCTGTTCTCATATATCACCTGAAATTACAATTAAACAAAGCATCATTACATATTCTATTTTCTCACTGTAGGAAAAAGAAATATAGAGGGTAAGAAAACAATGATTATTCATCCCAAGAAATCACTATGGTGGCCTAAGTTTCAGGTATGAGACTTTCAATCAAAGAATTCTTGCTTGTTAGATATTTTGGATACACATACTGTATTTTGTTCAGCTTTTTTAGTTAAAAGATAACATCCTTTTGGCGACATACAAGGACAAATAAATATGAATATGAAGACATACAGCAACAAACACAAATAGACACACACCAACCTCACAGAAGACAAGTTTAAACACAAGCAACCCATTTAGAATTGAAAGGGACTTACATCAACCAAAGTGACAAACCTATGTGCAGCTGATTTATTGTGAAGCCCAAAATTTGGAATCCCTTCCAGGGCTAGAGTATGAAATTTCTCTGTGAAAACAAAAAAAAAAAAAAAACACAACATTCTGTTTGACATTGAAAAACAACAAATAGTAGAAGTGGAAACCAAAATTACCAATATGGTAATAAACTAAGTTTCCACTAAAACAAAACCATTATCTGACTTTTTCATGTTCAAAACTTAAAGTTGCTTTTATAATCTCCATCTGCAATTCCCAGCAAACAACAGAACCATATTCCTTTTGGATAGGGCATAGAAGATGTATATGTACGTAGTATGTATGTAGAAAATTCACTCAAACATAAATTTCTTACTGAATAATCCAAAATAGTCTGCAGTTCCAAGAGGTCTATCGCAAAGTTCCTCAAAAGGAAAATAGGCACATCCATTAGCTCCCAGTGGAACCTGATGAAGAAAATGAACAGCTTAAAATTGATAATAGTAGCATTTGTGTGTTCTATACTTGTCTCTGTGATATCAAATTTAGCACATACATGCAGGGTCCTTCCCATTATTACTTCTACTTCTTGAGGAGTAGCTGTACTGTCTCCAATCAATTGTTGAAATCTTTGCTTAAGGAAGCCGGACAAATCTCTGCCAACCAAATAGAATCCTTGCTCACCCTGCAGTCCAAATTCACACAAAATAAAAATTGAAAAACCAATAATTTGAGATAAATAATTAAAGATATTTTAGAGTACATATGTCATACCGAAGTCATTTTGCGATAATCAATTGATGAACCAATCTCATGTACTACACATCTTTCCTACATCAGCAATTCAGCATACATATATTAGGCAATTACAAAGAGAGAACAAATGAACATATAGAAAAATATGAATACATGTGCCCTGGAGTCTTTACTTTCTTTTACAAAACATGGATGAAAATGTTCCACAAACAGAGGGCACCAGTAAAGGTATTTGTTTAACAGTAGATAAAACCTAAAAAGACTTAGGTATATGCCAACATTGACTTGAAGCCTATATAACACCACTCCTAACTGAGGAAAGATCTGGATGTGTACCTTCAAAGCTGCAATGAACGGTAAAAAGAGATCCCTCTGCAAACCACCCTCGTAAAGGTTATCTGGAGCACGATTTGATGTGGCCACCAGAATCTATACTTGTATCCAAGCACATTGAAAGAATGAACTTCGGAAAATTAATTAGGCAACAATTCCATAATTATTGTTTAGAGAGGTTACTATGCAGTTATATAACTCACAATGCCTTTGTTGAACAAATGTCTAAACAAGCGATTTAGAACCAATGCATCTGCTACATCAGTTACCTATGCAAAACCAAATAACAAATCTCAAGATTTAGCATCAAATAAATTACACACAATCTACTATCGAAAGATATAAATATTATATGAAAACTTTACCATAAATTCATCAAGACATAATAAAATAGCCTCATCAGAAATCTCTCCTGCAACCACATCAAGTGGATCTGACAAACCCTTATGCTTCTACAAGGATAAAAAATAGGAAATTTGATATAGGCTTCCTCTTATTCTGTAGGGAAATTAAACAAAGATGACAACATTTTGAATAATGCCACTAACTATTAATTAATACTCAGAGCATGAGGCCTTTCTTGTATAAGATTCTTAAACAAATTTCTCTTTCAAAACCTACATAATTATCGGAACTATCCCAATAGTAATAAGTAACAATTTCTGACCAATAAAATAGACAAAAGAAATGCAAGTCAATTTTCATCAACAGTAATTGAGTAAGAAAACTACACTTTAACAAGTACTAGAAATATTGATCTGCCCTCTTTTATCAACCAAAAAGGAAAAAAAAAAAAAAACATTTGAGAGGTAATTAACTGGTTCAGTAAACTTACTTGTAATAGGCTATGTACATTCAACATAAAGTCATGAAAATGAATCCTCTTTTTCCTCCAATTAGAGGGCCTGACAAGAGACAAAGCAGTAAAGATGTTACCATAAGAACACACTTCCACATTATATTCTAAAAATGCCTCATAATTCTTCTTATGTTGAGAACTTGAGAGTTGAAAAAGTATGACAACTCAATTGTATGTTCTCAGCAGCAAATGAAAAAAGATAAAAAAAAATCAATAGAAAAGAAATTCATTTCAAACTCACAATTGATAAAAAAACAGGTCCATCAGCATAGTTTTACCAGTACCCACTCCACCATAAAGATATAAACCTTTGACAGGTGAATAAGAAGGATGTGACAAAAGACGAGACCACAGCCACCCACTTCTGCAAAAAGGGTAAGTTAAGTTAAATTTAGAAGCCTAAACATGATGTGAAAACAGGGGGAGGGGGGCTTCAAGATTTGAGCATAAATATCAGCCGACAGCAATATAAATACTGGAAGAAAGAAAAGCATACCTTACTGGTTTTTCAGAATTGCGATCCAATTGGCAGGCGTCAGCAGACTCAACAAGTTCATCATACAGTCTCTGAAGTTCTGTCAGTGTCTCTACCTGTTCAAAAAACGAAAGAAAGAAATGCTTAAACAAAGGAAAAGATCAAAAGAAGATTAAGTGGAACAATTACCAATAAAGTTTCATGAAAAAAACCCCATATAACCAACAGCATTTTACCAATAAAACAAGCTAGGAAAACCAATTTCATTAATGAAATTAGGCATTAACAAAATGTGGATACTCTACCTGGCAACTATCACCCTCGACAAGTTCACCACTGGCAATTCTTCGTTCATACTCAACAAGCGGCCCAGCTCTGCTTGTTTCTGTATTTGAAACAACAGATTCCATACAAGTTACATAATAAGAAAATGGAGTTTTGCAGCACCAAAGAAAAATTGAGAGAAAAAAAGATGAGAACCTCCATTTGTGAGTTTTGCAGCATCAATCGAGAGAGCTCTCGTGCTTGTTCTAAACGAGTGGCTTTTGAAATAGTAGGTCTCAGCATGATCAAAAGCTGAACTATGAATATGACAGCTCTTTTCAAAGTGACATGGGGTTTCTGCAACAAGATCATTGATCAAAACACAATCCTGCCTCTGAAGGACTGGTCGCAATTGTCTTAAAGAACGAAGCACACTTCTCATCTTCAACCACTCCAACCAGAACCACAAGCTTCAGAGTAATAAAGCCCACAAAAAAAAAATAAAAAAAATCAAGAATCCCTGAAATCAAAGAAACCAAAATTAAATTAAAAGAAAAAAAAATAAGTCTTGAAATCTGATTTACAAGGCCTATGACTTTCACCAAGAATTATAATTATAATCGAACAAAATTCAAAAACCCCTGAAATCAAAGCCATTTGTAATTTCCCACTAACAAAGAAACCAAAGATCAATTGCACAAGATACTCAATACATGATTTGAAAAGGTCTTTGACTTTTACCAGATTATAAAACGAAAAAAGGTAATTAGTAACAAGATTCAGACAAGGAATGGATCAACAAATGTCATGTGCATGCATGATGCGAGAAAAACAGAGCTTATTAGGACAACAAAAAGTGAAAGAAAATCATACGAGTAGCGTGAAATTAGGAAAAAGAAAGATAAGAAAGAAACGTGAATGAATGATGTAAGAACACTCCCAGAAAACTGGAACAAGAAGAATAAAAAAAAAAAAAAAAAGCGAGTGTTGAGTGAACAAAGAGAGATGGTGATTACGATGATATTGATTACAGAGCCTACTTGGTTCTGAGCGCTGGTGTTTCAGCTATAGCCTCAACCATAGTCTTGGCGATTCCAAGTTGGATTTTTTTAATTGACCCAGAAAATCACACGTTTGCTTGTTCGTTGGAGAGAAGAGAGAGAAGATGCTGCAACTTTATGCCACTTCAAAACTTACAACAACATCGGTATTGCCTCGACTTAATATGCAAATTTTTTGTGTGTTCATTTATCATTAAATATTAGAAATGTTCACATGCTGTGGACCCACTTTTGTTTAGCCAGGGTCGATATCGTTTTTTTATTTTGTTTTGGGCATCAGCATGGTCAATATCGTTTCTTTCGTGCTCCTTTTTATCTTATCTCGGACCTACCTATCCCCTCTCTGCTTTTTTCCCCATCTGCTTGTTTATTTGGAAAATATTTTTTTTCCTCTTAATTTTATAGAATCTCATTTCTTTCTTTGGTCCAATTGAATTTGCAGAATCTGTTTTGGATTTTAAGTATAATGTTTGGTGTAGTATGTTAAGACTCGGTTTATTTATTGTTTTTATTGTTAATCTTATGGAAACAGTGTTTCTTCAAAAGCTTTTTAAAATGGTTTCCTTGACATCGTTTTGATTATTTCATTGTCATTGAACATCTTCGGTGGAACTTTTATGTAACTTAGTGAAGTAATATCTTTTACACACTTCAAATAATATATATTACTTTTAACTGCAACTCTGAACATTTCATGTCAAGCATTTTTTTTATTGATTACAACTGTAACTTTTAATATACATATTACTTACACTCTTGTTTCATTTTAGTGTTTCTCTCTATATATAATGTATTTTTTGAATGAAATGAATAAATAAATTTTAATTTTTAAATTTTATTATAAATATTAAAATTAAAAAAGTTTTTATCGTATAAAAAATATAAACTCGTCATAATATATGATAATAGCAAAAATCTTAAAATATAAATAAATATCAATTATAAAATTATATACTTATGAATATTTAATTTATTTAAAATTTTATATAATTATTTTATAAATTAATATTATACAATTTAATAAATAAATTAATAAATTTTAATATTTATATAAAAGTATCTTATGATAATTAACAAAACTTAAACTTAAAGTGGATCTCCTACGTATTTTTGTCACTCATTCTCTTTCTCACACGCGTGTTTGTACATGTCATATTGCAATACATTTTAATATTATTAAATTAATTATTTTTCATTCTAAGTAATGAAATATTTTTTTATTTATCAAATCAAATTTTAAGTATTTTATTTATATTTCATCCATATTTATGTTTGCTAGTGATTAATAGCGTGTCTAGATGAGATTTTTTTTTAATATTATAATCTGATTTATGGAAACATATAATATTGTTTTTTAAAAATGTGATAAAGTTAAATAGTAGTATAAAATGTTAGTATTAAGATATATCACTTTTTACAATCAATTAAATTTCAGAGAATAACGATTAAAAATTAACATGTTATTATAGTAAATTTAATTATTACAATAATGCTATATTCCTTTATACAAATTTACTATAAAAAATAATAATTTTAAAGAATGTAAACAAAATATGTTATCTTAAAATACTTTTCACTTAGTATACATAAACACAAATCTTATTTTATATAAATAACTTACAAACAATTATTAAAATAATTTTAAAAAATTTAAATCTAAACTGCGTTAAATGGTCTTTTGTTGAAATGCAAGGGCATCTTGCTATCTGATACTCTTCGGTTGCACGGTACTAATTATTTGTCCGTATTAAAATTTAAGTGGTCACTATTCAAATTGAAAACTTGTTGTGAACGTTGTTTTCCACGTTGTCCAATGAATTATTTCCACCATCACCAATAATGCTATTCAATTTGTCGGGTGATAAAAATATACTTTTATGTTAATTAATATGCTTTCTATAAATTTAAAGGTTATTATTATTTCTTATGTTGTGCACGTCTTTAATATTATATTTATATGGTACATGTTTAATATTAAAAAAGAATAAAAGAATCCCACTTTTCCGGTGCTTAAGAAAACTCTATTTGTAAAATTTTAATTGGCATATGATAACAAAATCATAATATATGATATTTTAAGTGTTAAAAAATATAATGTGTGAATAACGTGTTTTCTAACGATTATTACAAACGACCAATTCCAGTAAGCAATCAAACATTGAAAGCGCCTTTTCTATTGATTCAAATCACAAGTCCAGGCATTCTGAGTTGGAATCAGAGGTCAAGATTATATATTGGAACTAAATTTAGGTTTGGTGCTATTATCTAATAAGTAGCCCGTGCATTTCCAAGGTACTTTATTTTATAATAAATATATAAAATGTAAAGAACAAAATTTTATATTTTATGAATAATTATAAATATAAAATAACATTATTTTGGTGTTGCTATCTAATTAATATTAAAATTTTACTTTAATAACATGTTTTGATTTTTAATATTTATGTACTCACTTTTAATATTAATTTTTAATATCTATAATGAAGCATTTAAACTCCATGGAATATTCTGGTGGACAAGTAACTCAAAACTCGGGGGAAAAAATACGAATCCTCCACGCCACTCGGAATATTTAATTATTGTTGTTTTGTCATTCTTGGATCCATTCGATTATTATTTTAGTCAAACACGGAGTTGGTAGTTACGCTTACGTGGATCTACCTTAAATATTGACAATAAAAACATGGGTCCATTGGGCTGGGTACATGGTATTGTAGAGCCCAATGAAGTGGTGATGGGCCTCTGGCCCAAGTGGAAGTTCGGGGTGTTCTGTTCCACCAAACAGAAGCAGAAGCAGAATAGAACAGCGCTAGCTTCTGGGGAAGGGGAGAGAGAGAGAGAGAGAGAGAGATGGCGAATCAAGGAGCTAAGAAGCGCAAGGAAGAGAACGCGCGTCACATGGCTAGGCTTCGCTACGCCATCATCGCGTGCAATGTACTCCTTTGTTAACATTATCTGAACCAATTTATTTTTCGATTTTAGTGATTGATGACCTAATTCTATGGATTTTTTTGTTTTAGGTTATGTATGTACTATTAAGGATGTTGATTTTCCATTCGACGTTCACATGGAAGCACTGGATTGGGTTGTTTGTGACTTCTGTGGCATATGCTATTCCTTATCAACAGCTTGCAAAGATGGCAAACCCTACGTACGCTGAAGATGGTGAACTTTTAGATGGCGGCTTCGATATGTCTACTGGTGGAGTTTGTGGGTATGTTTTTCTTTGCGTGGCGTTATTAATTTTCCGTGGCAGTGGATCTGCAATAGTGCTAATATTTTACTTTAAAATCTTTGAAGCTCCTGAATTATTCAGATATGAACTATAATGTTCGAATAATAATTTCTTAATAAATGAAAAAAATAAACCTAAGTTTTGGATCCAGAAGTAGTTGTTACCGAACCAAATTGGTTGCTGGCAACCATTTTATTCTCCCATCCTAGATGATCATAGATACCCTTGAAGAAGATGGACAGAATATAGTTAAGCTTGACAAATAGAGACACAAGAGAAAAAAAAAAAAAGTTCGCACATAATTATAATATTCCTGAAGATTAGTGCATGCGTTGCTTCAGGTGTTATTATGTTCTGTAATAGATGAATTGAATGGGATCATACCGCCTAAAGTTTTAGGGCACAGTAGAACACTAGCTAAGGTCAAGGCATGGGTTGGATCAAACTTAACACTGATGATGCATGTAGGAGAATTCTGTTGATGCAGAATGTGGAGGACTTTTTAGGGGTGAGGATGGTAATTGGATTGAAGGTTTCTCCTTCCATATTGGTTTATGCTCCACATATTGAGCATAACTTTGGGGAATTTTGATTGGCTTGGAATTGGTATGGGAGGAAAGGCTTGTGGAAAATTATTGTTGAGAGTGGTTCTGCTTCCATTGTTTTTTCTCTCTCCATCGTTAACTCATTTTTGCTTGACCAATTGCAGCAATAAACTCGTTCAGAGAATTACTTGATGCCTTAATATGGGTGGATTGTTAGCTTCTCTCACCCTTTTGGAGTGGACAATGCTTGTGATCTTGAGTTGACTAGCTACGAAATTAGAGTTTTGGTCAATGAGTTGTCTTCTCCTCCTCCTCAACTAGTTCCCCTGTTCCTTGCTGATGTATCTGGGATAGCCATGCCCTATGTTTCTTCTTAGTTTTTGTTTGTTTGTTGTTAGACTTAGCCCCCTCTTAGCAATGAAAAGGTCAAAAAATAGTAATTTCTTTCTAAATTTTTGGATATCTTCTAAGTATGTGTATGAAAATGTATCTTGGATAGCCACGCCCCATGTTTCTTCTTAGTTTTTGTTTGTTTGTTGTTGGGCTTAGCCCCCTCTCAGCAATGAAAAGGTAAAAAAATAGCAATTTCTTCCATAATTTTTGGATATCTTCTAAGTATGTGTATGATATTTATAGTTATTTTTCACTCACTGTCAATTGTCTTTTGCAGCTATTTACATGATGTTATCTACATAACATGCTTTGTGCAAGTCATGTCCATCATCTCTGGCAAATTCTGGTACACATATCTTGTGGTAAGGTCCATAATCTGCTCATAGATGCGGTATACTGTTAGAATATAAGTTTTGTGGCTGTTAATGTTAGCTTTGCACTGAAGCCACTTCAAAGAAAGCAATCTTAGCTTCATAAAGAGAGATTAATTATACATCAGCTTTGACAGTGTGTATATGTATATATTGTAGTTATACACGGGTTTATTTACAATAGGGATGAGTACTGTCACAGAGAGAGAGAGAGAGAACGAGTTCCTTATAAGTGTATGTTGCTTATTTTTATATGCCAGAAAGAAATCTACAGTTGGAGGGACTGGGATGCTAAAGAGTTTTGCCAAAAAAATAGTGCCGTTTATCAATCCACTAATAAAACCCAACACAGTTGGTTTGGGTCCCTCAAGCATATTGACCAATGATGAGGGTTTGTTTCCTGATCACTTCAGTGATCTTGATGTTTCGAAAGAGATTAACAGTGTGTGTATGTGTATATTCCATCTTGTTTTGTTGTTGTACATAGGTTTATTTACCATGGGGATGAGTACTGTCAGAGAGAGAGCGTTAGTTCCTTATAAGTGTATATTGCTTATTTTAAATATGCCAGAAAGCAAGCAATCTGCAGTTGGAGGGACTGGGATTCTGAAGAGAGTTTTGCCAAAAAATGGTGTCATTTATCAATCCATTAATAAAACCCAACACGGTTTGGGTCCCTAAAGAATATTGACCAGTGATGGGGGTTTGTTTCCTGATCACTTCAGTGATCCTGATGTTTCAAAAGAGATTAGTCTCCAATTTACCATATATTTGCTATAAGAAGTTGCAGTTGTAATCAATAATGGAACATTTTTTACTTGAGAAATCGTGAAACCCTTTAGGTATTAGAAAAGAGAATACTACAAACTACAGATTAAGTCAGTGACACAATCGCTCCTTGCATGACATTTGCCAGATACCGGCTTTTGGAGCATACCAATCCTTTGGCTTCATTAAAGGATTTTTGGGACAAGGTTCAGAGGTATGCTCACCTTGTTGATTAATTTTTTCTTTCAGACAATAAAAAGAACCATAGTAACTTCAATTTCGTATCTTTTATGTGAATTAGGAATCGCTTGAAGATGAAAAGACTCGCAAGAAGAGAGAAAAGATGGAGAAGAAGGCATCAAGACCAAAGTTTGTCAAGACAAGAACTAGATAGTTTGAGTGTACGACATCCAGCTAGATAATGTAACCTAAATATCCAAGATTGATGGAGGTTGCCATAAAATTTCCAAGTTCTTACCAGTACAGGCGGTACAAAGTCTTTGTTGTATTCTCATGTATAACAAATTTAATTCCTTTTTAACGCTCCTCCATTCAACGAATGAAACAAGGAAACAAGGACAAATATGCTTAGACAGTTTAGAAAAGTATTTAGAAAAGCTAACCTTGGGGGATATTGGGATTAAGAGTTGTCAAACATGGGAAGATGCGTCATGTTTATCACATGACTCGACCATATCAAGAGTGAATGACGTGGAATTGCGTAAATGGAGTCTAACCTCGGTGTTGGAAATCCTACATGGGTGTCAAAAATGAATTACGTGTCTATTAATTTATTGTGGAACCGTGAAGCACGACGATCATATTCTGGGGGAAAATGACTGACCACTACGTTACCCTTACACCTTTTGGGTGTTGAATTAATTCTAGTTGGTAACGACAATGCTCCCCATTGATTGGGAATCCTTGATAGATATGGAGATGAAAGAGTCCGTCATACTTTACTCAGCGGTCTAATATATTGAAAATGGCAGACTATTTTTATTTAATATAATTTAGTATACAAATTTATGTTTTTACAATTTTAAATATACTAAAAGATACTTACACTAGTTGATTTTATTTAAAAAGATACTCTTTACTGCTCATTTTTGTAATGTTGGGAACTCCAACGAAAATCAGAAAATGAGGATGAGGAACAAAACTACTCTAGAGCAGTGAAGGTAGGGATGGAGCCTTGAGCCCTTAACCTACACAGTTGTCATCTTTAATTCCAATGTGGGCGTTACACCTTAGCTTAAGTATATGGTGAAGTGTGCCAACATAAAGTTGAGATACATTTCGTGATAAAAATAAGAAAATTCGGTTAACTCAATGAGATATTTTTGGTTTGGCACAAATTTAGAATTTTTTTCTATGGATGGTTCTGAAAAAATAGTATAGTAAGAAAGAGCTTGAGTTGTTCGTGTGAAATTATAATGGAGGTACTATAAAATTCTCATTCCAAGATCCAATGGAGGCAACATACAAATAAATTAATTAGATTTGAATTATTTTGAAAGACTGAAAATTGCTAGAACCTGAAAACAGAACATCGGAGACAGAGCCAACACTAATATTTCTACTTTTTACACTCACCCATCAAAAAGTTCACAATCAATCCTCTGAAAGTACACCCGCATCCCATTCAAGTCATAACCAACATTATAATTCTGCTGAGCCAGCATTCCAATAGAAGAAAAGCTTTCATAGTCATCACCAAAATAGTTCCCTGGAAGCAAAGCCATGCAAAATTCATTCTCTGTGGTCTGAACAAACATGCTTGTTGCGTCCAAATCCAAAACAGCACCCTCAGCAAAATGTAATGTCACCACTGGAAAACCACTTAGATCTCGGCTAGCCACACCACTATAGCACAACGTATAAGGGTTGTGCTTATTTTGGACCGAAATCCCTTCAAGAATGTTTTCGACTTCAAAGCTAAGCACTTCAAACCCATATTTTGTAAGCCAAGTGTGGTCTGCTCCAGAGTCAATTATTACTCCACTGTTATTATCTCTTGTTGATCTTTCAAACACTGTTGGGTCTATATCAAGCTTTCGCCCTCCTATACTTATAGCTTCTAGATTAACGTAATACAAACCATTGAAAACATTCAAAGTGGTTGAGTCACCTTGCATATTTGCTTTGTCCCCCAAGACCAATTTGTTAAACTTATAATTAGTATTTCTTAAATTGCCAATGCAATATGAGAATTTCTTACCAAAGCTAGGTACCAAAGAAAACCTTCCACTACCAAGCCCAAACACCCCGTTGATTCCTTGGTAGGGGTAACCATTGGATGATGTACTAAACTTATGACCACAACCAAATATCAAACTAGGCACTCTCACTATGCTGTCATCTTGGGTCTCAAAAGTTAACTGTTCCCTGGCAAAGTTCCCTTCTGATGAGCCACTACCAACATACTCTACATTGAATGGACATTGACCATTCACATCACAATTGTTGCTGCATTCACTGCATGTCAAGCTAGCATATGTGAAGGATTTTGAAGGGTCAAATATTGGAACAGATTGGTGGGAACAAGATGTGCATGGGAGACACTTAATCCATGTAAGGCTACTGCCAGTGTCCATGACAGCAAGTTGTGGAACAGGTGGTTCACCAATGGAAAAATTCATTAAGAACACAACATTTCTGGGACTAGGAACAAGATTGGACATAAAATCATCATTAAAAGCATGCTTTATCTTTTTTTGAGAATAATAATCCCAAATGGTGTCTTTTTTGTAGGAAGACAACAGTGTTGATTGGTAATGTATGAGTTTAATCACTAGGCTACCAAATGAGGTTGTAGTGGCGGTGGTTAAGGGAAACTGAAATATGAAAGCCAATGAAACAATTGTAGAAACAAATGATGTTGTCATGACTACAATTTCTTGAGCAAGTTACAAATCCTTTACGAGGAAATTCACCTGTCTTGAATAGTGAAGGACTATTACCTTGTGATGACTCCTCACGTAAAAAGAACTTCATGAGATGAAATTCAATCCTGGTTTAGAATGCATGTTACTGAACTACTTTTACATGACTGGAAAGGTTAGTTACCGAATTCTTTTCGCATTGCATCGGTTAAAATCTTGCCGAGGGATTTTTAACTTGCCCAGCCGGATAAATGAGATTGATGCCCTAACTAGAAAAAAATTTGTATCTTCTCAGAATAAGAATATCATAATTCTACTGAAAATTCTATCAATTAAATTTTGCTTGGTATTTGTAGATTCACATTAAAAGACATGTAAACTTGAATCCAACGGAGCTATGCAAATACAAACATGTTATTACTCCCTTTTGTTCTCTCTTATCATTTCTTAATTTATTGGGTAAGAGATATTTTATTTTAAACGAAAATTCCTTCGCCACAATGAAGAAAAAGTAATTTTAAATAATGTTTCTTTTAGCTGTGAAACATTTGCAATCTGGCCCTTTAATTTGTTTCGAGAAATGATGTTCCATTTATGGAAATAAAATATTCAAAAATGACAAATTTTAAAATACATTGTAAGCATGTTCGCCTGTTGGATTTCTAAAAGAAAAATTCTCAAATTCGAAAGAGAGACATTTATAAAATAACTAAAATTAGGTAATACAGGACTGTATTAAATACTTAGAGAAAAGAATTTTGTTGTCACAATAATTTTACCTACTCAAACATGATTCTCTCTAATGGAGGGTACTAATAGTTTAGCTGAAAGAACAAAAAAAAGTAACATGGTGCCTATGCTTATTATTAGTTTTTGATCCATTTAACATATATATCTTTTCTAAAAAAACAGAATTAGGATAGCCAACGTATTATAAAAAATAAAATAAAGATAGTCAGCGGGTATAACTGACTTCAGGACACTCAATTTTTACGGTGCTTAAAAACTAACACAGCGGAAGAGAACATCTCCAGAAAGTCTAGAATTCCATAACGGCTATCATCAACCTTAATAATTAACTGATAGCAATGGAAGAGAAAATATTACAAAGAACGGAACTTAATAATTAATATCACGGGTAAAATTTGAATTTCCAAATCTCTGCTGTGCTCCTGCCTGTTAAGGACATTATAGTTGTAGATTTTGGCAAAGTAAACCAAGAAATCTATCCAACGGAAATAAGAACGTGACAACTAATTTCAATCATCAAATCTTATCTCGCACGACTAAAATTAAAACATAAGTAATGTAACCTTTTAAAAATGTTACATAACATTTTAAACCAATTATATGACTTTCCAAAACTTTTAATCTTTACTATTTATATATGATTATACAATTTAAATTTATTATTCCCATCCCATGTAAATAAAGTACTCTCACAATATAAATCCCCAGGTAAACCGTAATCTGTAAAGCGTGAACTGCCACCAAATTCTTTCTTTTCGTTTATTCCAAACTTGATATCTACATTTTTCGAGGATGACCAAAATATTCAGTATCTATAATACTAATTTGGGTTGAGCAGAACATTTAACCATATGATAAACCAATTTAACTAATAATTTATTTACATTTAGCTACGAATTTGATTGGAAAAGGTAGGTTATCGGTAAGTAAATTATTGGTTTAATTGGTTAATCATATGGTAAAATTTCTTACGAGATCCAAATCAGAAAAATTCTTAACATGCTCCCATTACATTCTCACGCATTTCCTCCAAATAAAACATTTCATTTTTTGCAGCAGCAGTAGCTCTGGTAGTTTCCGAGTAACACTTTCATGTTGGCAGCAGCAGTATCTCTGGAAGTTTAAAGAGTAGCGTGCAATTTCTCAGGCTTTACAGTTATCAGATGAAGTGCTAAAAACATTCTTTAGCCACTCACGGTGCCTTATCCAAGCTCACAGTCAAAAGATTGAACTCACGCCCCAAAGCCCAAGATAATCCATTCTGAGCATCAATGCTTAAGTTGTATTCCTGAAAGTAGCCGTTACAAGTTATCACGGACATATTGGCCCTGGAAAATTAAGAATCATAAAATTTTAGCAAATAGATATCACATATTCTGTGCAACATGGAGAGGAAGTTATGAAGAGCATTTCTTGAAAGATAATATATGATAAAATCTAAATGCTACATGGAGCTGGCCATATAACTTGTAACTCTAAAAAAGGTACCACACTTCAATGATCAATTCTTTGAAAGGATCATCTACTTCTCTGGTCCATAACTGTTTCTACTACACCGTGGGAAGGGAAGAAGAGATATACCCAATATCTGTACAGACCTTTGCATTAATAACATTGGAAATATACTTTTTACTAAGTAAAACTAAAACTTAATCCTAAATATTCAATCCATAAAAAAATAAAGCATAGATTTGCATTGTCATCCTAAGCCTCAGATTGAAGGTGACAATGAACCGATGAAGTTACCACTACACTCACACAAGGTGATTCCAAAATTTGACCAGTATCAATAGGAAACACCCTCAGGGTGAGAAGCTACCCATAGCACAATCAATAATGTTCACATCACCTTTCCTTTATTAAATCTACAACTTTCATTACCAGATATTTGTCTTGATTGCTTAATCATCGTCAGTGTGGCTGACCAATTGGATTACAAAAATGCTAGCATGCACGACGTGAAAGAAAATTCACTTCTTCGTATGCTATAATGTAAAGGGCCATGAAATCATATAAAGTGTTGCATTAACCCATAGTTTTGCATTAAAGTAAATTATACATTCAATAGGTAAAAATGAAGCTACACCACATACGCAGTATCTCTATTTAACCTATCCTCAGAAAGTTAATTTAAGAGGACAAAAGCCAAAACCAAAGAATGAGTGAAGGGGGAGACAGGCATATCTAATAAGGAATTGAAAAAGGACTATCAGAGACTGAGACCATCAGATCAATAATGAAGCACTCACCTACAAGCTAAGAGTTCAGTTGATGAGGTGTCAGTGACATTTTCAACCTTCCGAATTACTGCATAGCTGTAAGACAAATAGCAAATTTCACAAAACAATTTCAAATATGCAAATATTCTTACTAATATATAATAAGAAATCCTCAAGAAGGTTTGGCTAAGCGCTCAATAAAATCTCATAAACGTAGACAAAGTATCCAGAATATGGAAAATAAAGTATGAAATAGTTCCAAGGTTTAAATAGGTCAATTAATAAATAAAAAAATAAAAAAAACCTTCAACAAGTCATGAATCTAGCTACATAACCTGAAAATACTTCACCTTTTGACCCCTGCAGGAACAGCATTATGAAGTACATGATGATAACTAGGATCCAGCACATCACTTACAGCATCAGGAATTATTGATCCAAGAAAACCACTTGATCTCTTGCTCCTGCTGAAATCATCAAATATACATAAGAAGACTTTCCAAATCCATTTTGAAGGAAGAAAAATAATGAAGAGAAAAGAAAGATCACAGAGAAATTATTTAGAGTGCAAAGGAAGCTTGTACAAATTATGTGGAAACTAGGGACACAAGTCACACAACAGGTCGTACACATTTGTTGTGCAATCACCAATATGTCAACCACATATTCCTTACAGTATACATATGAAAGATTCAATCTAGAGTGACCTTTCTCATTTGGCTCTTAATGGTAACCAAATATGTTTAGTATTATCAAAATTGAATTTTCCATTATTTGGTTTCTGTCATGCTGCTTGCTAGTCCATTTGAGTTGACATGTTCACTCGTGTACAACAATGAAGTAGTTTAATAGATAGGAAAGGGGGGAGAATATCTTAAATTGCAATTCTCACCTTGGATGTGAAGCAAATCCAAGAGTGAAAAGATGAATAGAACCAGAAGAACTTGACGCTGCAAGAATATCTGGAAGCTGCTTTGATGGCCCAAATGACAGAGAAAATATAGTAGATGGATATGTCCCCCTTCTAAAGCTATATGACTGCTAAAAACACATTCATCAGATTCTACATAAGCAGTGAAATTGTAACATAATATTAAAAGTATCAAAAGCTTCTACAAGGTATATAAACTATAATGAGTATAACTCATGTCTTAATTACTTGATAGGATTATGACGGAAAACAAAATAAAAAGAGCATTACACAACATGAAAATATTCATTCCGTTGGTTCAATTATTAGAGACTTTGGGTATTTACCTTCCATAACCAGGTTAGAGAAGAAATATATAATGTAACTACTCTTGTTTTCCAATCCATGTCAATATATTTTATTCTTCACTAAAGTTATGAATAGCATCCGCTGGATCCAATTTAAGCATTAATACCCCCTATCAGTATTCATAAAGATTGACTTTTATTCATCACCTTTGTTGCATCTGATACCAAATGGACTCTGATTATGGTTCCTTGCTCAGATGCTGTAGCTATGTACATTCCATTAGAAGAGAGGACCATTGCAGCCAGTGGTGAACGATGAGCCTCAATCTGTAATTCACGCTCAAATTTCAATAATAATGTTCATGAATATAAGTAAAAGATATAAACAGCCATATATTAGTTCATACTTGATACTAAGAAGAAGAAGCGTCTAACACCCTTAAAAAATGTATTATTGCCAGGTGGTAAAATAATGAAATAAGTCAATCACTGAGGTGTTTCCTACTGTGCAACCTAAAGAAGGAAATCTCACAGTGCCTAAGCAGGCATTTTACAGCAATATTAGTTTCTGAAATTCCATAAAATAACGAAGATATTTTCCATTCAAATAGACAAGAAATACTGAATCATGAAGGCAGTGAACAACATAATAAAAATTCAAAAACATGAAGAATAATATCAACAATTTTCATCATCTCACTAGTTTGAGGCTACCAAACAGGAAAGCTACAAAAAGCAAAAGGATCACTAACAATATAGGAACAAACCCAATTATTCTATTAAACTACACAAAACAGAAAGGAAATTTATGCATAACCTCACAGTGTAAATGACAATCCATGACATTATACAACAACGCAGATCCTTTGGCAGTGCTGGCAGGAAGAGCCAGGTAGCAAGCGTCCAAACAAGGCGAAAAAGCACAAAGTCCTGCGGTGAAAAATGCCTCAGAAAAATAAATGCATAATATAACAGTTATTAGCATGATCCGAAGAAGAATAGCACAATAATCTAACTTTAAAAACAATTATTAAACTCTCCTGACAGAATTAAATCATTTAATTCATTCCAGTTTCACTCACCTTTAGTATTTGGCACTGTGTCGATAGTATCAAGGATTGTGAGACTATTTAATTCATAAACATAAGTTTTGTCTTGTAAAATAACAACGAGTCTTTTTCTATTCAAGCGAACAGCAAGTATTGAAGTTAGAAAGTTCAATTCTCTGAGAGGAGCTCCGGTGGTTGTATTGAATAAACAGAGACGGCGAGGGGACAAAGATGGCTGAATCAGCGAAAAAAAAATACACAATCAGAGAGAAAGCTGATTCACACAAGTGATAAAAACGTTGTCTCGTACCTGATCACCAGCGCCAACGATAGCAAGAAGACTTGAGCTAAATAGCATCTCAACAATAACGAAACCTCCAACAGCTACAAGAAAGAAAGAGAAATAATTAAACAATAAAAATTAAGAAGAAAAGCAACGGTGATGATGGAATTGAATTGACCTCGTTCATAGCAAAGCCTTCCGGTGTTGGTATCAAAAATTCTGAAACCATCTCTGGTGCCAACGGCAAAGCAACTGCAAATTGAAAAACGAAATAGGTTTAGAAAAAAGGAGGATGCAAAAAGAAGTGAAAGAAAAAGACCTATTGTCCTGGTTGAAAGAAGCGCAGAGAATAGGGGAGGAAGATGAGTGGTTCGCCATTTAATAATTGAGGTTCGGAGTTTGGAGTTGCAGGTAGCTTCTCTGCCTCAATTCATCCATTACTATGCCTACAATCATCATCAAAACTCCATATCTTATCCCCCTCGCCTCTCGGGATTCCTTTTTCTTTCAAAGGAGTACTCCTATCAGTGTTCATCAAGCATCACTATAAATTGTATCACTATTATTTTTTTAAACAATATAATAATTTTTTTCTTAAAAAATGTAGCATTTAATAATATCATTTTATTATATTAAAAATTTTGTTTATAAAAAAATATGCATATAAATCTTTATTGTGTGTTTTTTTTTTACAAGTTACAAAAATTAATAAAATAAATAACAATAATATTTTGCACATCCGGTCCGGGAAAACTTTAAGTCAACATATAAATAATATATTATATACTAAAATTAAATAAGATAATCAAGTGTCAAATTTTAAATTCTATAAAATTTGTAAATTTAATAAAATAATTATATTTAGCCCTTAAAATAAGGACATTAATTGAGGAAATAAAAAGTAGCAAAACACGTAAAAAACATTCACCATCATAAATTTTAATATACTCTAATGTAAATTTTAATTAAAAAATTACTAATTTCTTAGTAAATACTCTTTACAATGGACTTTTGGTAAAGAGACAATGGTTTGCATGATATTTAGTAAAATATTTTTTTAGGGTAGGTTGAATGATACACAATACAAATTTATGTATAGTTATTTTTAAATATTATAAGATGTTACAAAATTTAATGCATTAAAAATATTAAATATTATTTTTAATAAAATATTACTATTTATAACGTTTTATCATATATAATTTTATAAAAGTTAAGAAAAAACACAAAAATAAACAAAAATATATTAATTATTAAATTATTTGTATATCTTTTTACTTATGTTAACAAATTAGTTATCTTTATATATTTATTCAATTAATATATAAATAAAAATTTAATCATTTATTATTATTTATATTTTTAAAATACTTTATAAATTTATGATACATAATTATTTTAATAAATCTATATAAATTAATTATTTATTTCTCATTAAATAATCCAATTAAATTATCAATTACTAATTATTTATAGTATATCCTCAAGCACAAATTATAAAAACCAATAAAATTTCTGTGGTAAGAGGTTATGAGAACATTTCCATATTAATCCTTTCACCCTTGAGTTAACGAGAAAATAGTTGTTATTCATAGAACGCAGAATCGCTTCCCCTGTCCACGATCAAAATTACGTATTTGAATGTCATCATGACTTGCTACGTGTTCAGTTCCTCGATTTTAATTTTCACCAATACTCTTCGTTATAATAAAACTAATCTCAAATAATATAGTGATTTAAGAGTTCTTTTAATAACATTCTCCAAAGTTAAAACTTGATTTGTTCCTCAATTGCAATTAGCATACTTTCGTATTTTAACCATTCAAACAACCTGCAAATTAAATAAAAACAATGACTTTATCTTTAAAATTACAGACCCATGTTAGTAACAAAGATTTCGCCAGAAAAACTATGCTTTAGAGTAGGTATTGAGGCAAAGAAGATCAACCATTTGGGAAACAAAAAAAACCATCATCTGACTGAAGTAACGAAGTTAACAAGACAACGGTAAAAAGGACACACGAAAAGACACCAAATTGAGAAAAAGAGCAACGCGTGACCCTGCAAAGCATCTGATCGAAAATGACCTCTAACAGCTCAAAGCGCAGACTGTGGCCTTCACTCTTGCTTTCAAGTTTGAACATCCATTAACAAGACAACCCAAGAGGACACTGCAAAGATTCATGCACATCTTCATTTTCAGTCAGAACTGTCAACATATCATTCTGCAGAAGACACCCTCCTGCCTCCTGCTTCACACTCGAGAGCAAAGAATCTGATGATGTTCCCTATCCACCCTATACAAAACAGTCTATCTTGCGTATTGCCACCCACATACCACATTTTCACCCATTATATTATATATTTTGCATCCAAAAATGCACAGGTACAACTCCACGGGTACTACACTAATTATTCACAACACCAAAATGATAAAATTTTATAGAATATATATACATTTGATTTGATTAATTATATCCTAAAATTAAAAACCAAAGCTAAAGCGATATGACCAAGAAAACTCCTTTTTCGCTTTTTTATCTTCCTGTTTTCTTTTCCCATTTACTGTTTATCTAGGACCAGAGAGTTCCATGGCATAGGATTCCAAAGACTGTTCATCATCATCATCCATTGTCGTGCCAAACATGCTGGAACGATCATGAACATTATCATGTTCTGATGCAGAGGTAGGGCGAGATGAACAATTGCTATTGTTACTGTGGCTGGGGTTCATGCCGTGATTACCGAAATTATGTGATGATGCCCACTTCTCAGCAAGCCCGTCACCTTCAAGCATTCGGACCACTTCAGACATTTTAGGGCGATGGGCTGTCAAATATTGAGTACAGAGTAAAGCTACTTGCAGCATCTCCCCCACCTCTATTCTATCATAATTATTTCCTAGCTCCTTGTCCACCAACTCTGCAACCTTCTTTTCTTGCTGTATTTTCCTAACCTGTCACAATACGGACGAATATTTATCTCCTGTCTCTGAAGTCTAAACAATTCTTTTTAGCAAACCTTCAGATATCTATTTCAAGGATACGTTTCAGGAGGTAGATCACCTGTCTTGTATCAACAACTACCCCCAGGCCCCAGCTCTCAAAGCATTTTCATTTTTTCTTTGTGGGGTGATTTACCAATAGCAATTATATTTACTGTATATATCCTACCAATTCCGTATTAAATATTTAAAAATTGAAGTTTCACATACACTTCATCATCTGTAAATAGAAAAATGAGAAGTTCCTACTGTAATTTAGTAATGGCAGCACAGAAAGCCATCCACTAGACGTGCACTTCAGACTTGGCGGTAAATTACCAAAATTTTCTGATGGTGAAAACATAAACTATGCTTTGGCATACTTTTCAACAATAACTACTATATTAGACCAACTCAACTATAGTGCGACATGGTTTGGGGTCATTAACAGCAAGGAGTTTAAAACAAGAAGGTCTAATGCACACCACATATCACAGAAGCTTGTCAAATTACTTATATCATAAGAGACAACACCTACAACATTCAGTTCTGATTTTCCTTTCCCCCATTTCAATAGACAATATTTTGGATAAACAACTTACTAAGGTGCTTATTTGGTAAACTCTTATCACATCAGGGTTTATACCTTGAATTTAAACATTGAATTTGTTGAAATAAGTTAAGAATTACTTTGACAAGTTTTCTTGGAAAGCTTACTAAAATAAACTGAAAGAGCTCACAAGTCCAACTATTTTAATAAGTTCAAATAGGCTTTACGTTAACTCTGTCTTTCAAACACACAATACATCAGGATCAAATAATATTAAGATATTTTGATAGAAGTCGTAGCCCAGTGCAGATCAGAAAAAATATTAAAATATCATGTCCACAGAAAAGTCGCGCATGAGGAACTCCTGGTGAAGAAACAAATATTGAATAAGCTAAAGCTATTAGACTAACAGATATTTGCGTCCAAATACCTTAGAATGCAATGAACAGTTTGTTTTAGTTGCAGAGAGTAGACTTACCCACTCTAGCATAGCACCTTTTTGATTCACCGTTTTCCCAAACTCGAGTGCTGTCATTCCAGTTATGAGCTCTAACAAGAGAATGCCAAATCCAAATACATCTGTTTTCTCAGATGACTGACCAGTGGAGAGGTACTCGGGTGCAATGTGCCCAACAGTGCCACGGACAGCAGTGGTGACATGGGAATCAGCATGATCAAGGAGTTTTGCAAGGCCAAAATCACCAACAACAGCCTCACAATAGTCATCCAGAAGCACATTAGCGGCCTTTACATCTCTGTGTATTATTTTCGGATCACATTGCTCATGCAAATACAGAAGACCTCTGGCAGCTCCAATTGCTATTCTCTTTCTAGTGTTCCAATCTAGAGCTGGTTTACCTATCATATCATATACACGATCTTCAATGTCAAGGAATGCAAACATAATATGATTCAATAGGTAAATTATGCTTGTTAATAAGCAGAACTATGAATGCCAACAACGACCAGACTGCAGAATACACTAAGAAATAATTTTCAATCCTTAATATATAATAAGGAAAATCCATTTTCTAGCTTCTCTTGCCAGTAGCCACGAAGAGAAACAAATAATATCAAATTTATCACCCCAACAAAATTAGAGGTTCAATGCCTAGGATAAACATCATGAAAACCTGACAAGAACTAGATCAATAAGAGTTTAAATTTAATCAAGTGATAGGATACCGTCTACAGTTTGCAGGTGCACCCCTAATCATTATACAATTCAGACCATTTCAGTTTAATCATAACAATTTTGCAAACTTTTTTAAGAGAGCATGAAGAATCTGAACACTCATGATAAAGTGAAAGCATGATTACAAGTTTTAACATTAAACAGTATGCCATTCTAAAAAAATTTTAAAAAACAAAAGAAAGAAATAAAATATAAAATCCTAGACAGAAAGAAATAAAATATAAAATATCCTAGACAATGTCCCACCGCGTCCCAAACCATAATAATAGATTGCAATCTGGAACCGACGTCAACAACGCTCTTCAACCACAAAAATATGAATACCAAAACATGACAAGCACAGGTCTGAAGATTAAAACAAGTTTAAGTGCAATAAGACTAGTAAGGTAACACTACACTTAATATATCACATTATAAGATCACAGAGAAATATCTACCTCTAAGCCTGGAGGCCACACTGCCATTAGACATGTAAGGATAAACCAAAAGTTTTTCGTTAGGAGTAGCACAATATCCAATTAGGCGAAGTAGATTGCGGTGAACAGCCAAGCTGATCATTTCTAGCTCTGTTTGGAACTGTGATTCGCCAGCACTACCATTCACATCTTTCAGCCTTTTCACTGCCACCATTGTGCCATCTCCAAGCTTTCCCCTATAAACATTGCCAAAGCCTCCAGCACCAAGAATATTCTTGGAGCTGAAATTATCCGTTGCATGTTGGAGGTCTCTGAAAGTAAAACTTTTCAGATTTCCCAAGCTAACAACCCCTTCTTCCTTATAATCTGCAACAATACCAAAATTCTAAATATAAATATCCTGATAATAGCAATCTAGCACCACATAATCTAAAAACCGCCGTTCCAGGGCTACCTACCACCAATATACAGAATCGCTCCATGCTGTCGTTTCTTTCTATACCAAAATAATCCAAAAGTAAGGAGAATGAGAGAAGCACAACTAAGAGTGACCCCAAGTGCAATTGCTAGTTTCTTGGACTTGTGATTTCCTATAATCAGAAATATAATATAGATTAAGAAGATCGTATAAAGAAAAGATGAGGAACAAAGGTAAAAAGACGTACCTTCCGATGATGCTTGAGATAATGCTACGGGCATAAGTGTTGTCGATCCAGAGCAACCTTCAGTAGAGCTGCTTCCACAAACTAAAGGGTTCCCCACAATACTACAAACAAAAGTAACAGTGAATAAGGAAAAGCACAGTGACACTTTGAAACAACAGAACACAACCGTGAATCTACAAAACAGAGAGAATCGAAGAGACACCACCATACTTGAATGACCTGGCTGGGAACTTGGGCAATGGTCCACTGAGATTGTTATAAGACAAGTCCCTGAGTGCATAGACTTAGCACATCAAAGTTTTGGCAAAAAAATAATGACAAACAGTAACAAAATCCACAGGTGGCAAGTTGTTTCGATTTTCAAGACACTGACGTGTAAGAGGAGGGAACTGATATAACTACACTCACAAGAAAGCAAGCTGTGGGGTTTTCGCCAGTGACACGGGAAAGGGTCCAGACAAACTATTGTTGTTCAGCCTCCTGCTCTCGTTGCGGACAAAGAAACAGTGTTAGCTAGTATTACATTACATAATTCGCGTAAGAAGATTAGAACCAAAAATAAAAGAAAGTACTAGCAACAGCATTTCAATATACATATAACAAATTACACAGCTCAACAAAAGAGAGTAGAGTAAGTTAAGAACTAAACAACAGATGGTAGCTAATTGTTGCTTAAATAATTTCCCGCACTTGTTTAACCATGGAAGACTAAAATAAAGGAAACAATAATTACTCACAGGTACTGAAGACTATTCAACTGACTCAGGGAGGGTGGAATGACCCCAGAGAATCGGTTATTAGAAAGATCCAAAGTCTGAAGATTGGGAAGAGTTCCAAGCTCCGGCGGTATTTTGCCTGAGATATTGTTATTCTGTAGTAACCTACATTCAAACAACAAATACATATTAGTTAGTCTGAGCTTATATAGTCCCTATGCCAAGTGATGACAGTTACAGAGAAGAAAAGGGAAATAATAAAATAAAAATAATAAATAATAATTAAGAGGAGACGGAGGGGAGAATAGAAATGAAAAAGAAGTGAGATGCTGCGGTGCTCACACTTGTCTAAGATTTGTCAGATTTCCAATTGCAGGAGAGAGAGTTCCAGAGAGCGATTGGCTAGGCGCTCCTCTGCGGGTAGAAAAATAAAAAGTGAATGAGGAGGGTAAGGGAAGAAATGAAAGAGAGTGAGAGAGAGGAACTAACAGGCCTATGACAAGGTAATCAGAAGAGCAAGTGATCATGGCCCAGCTGCAAGCGTCGACGGAGAATTCATCCCAGTTGCTCAACACACCGTGCGGGTCATTAAGAGCTCCTTTAATGTTCATCAAAGCCTCCACTGCACCATTTTGTTATTATATTAATATGAATTAACGAAGGCTTAAAGAGAGAATGTTTTGTTTACCTTCGGGGTTGCGAGGCTCGGAAGCGGAACAGAGGGTATTGATTAGTAGGAGGAGGAGAAGGCAGTGGAGAGGCATGGTCATGTAACCAGAGGAAGAAAATAACAATAATAATAATTTAAAAGGAGGAGGTTATGAAAGGTGAGGGAGAGAAGAGAGGTTGTTACTTGTTGGTACTACCACACTACACTACTACTAGACTGGTAAACATAACATACATGAGTAACATCACCACACCCCTCTCTCTCTCTCTCTCTCTCTCTCTCTCTCTCTCTCTCTCTTCTTTTTTCTTTTCTTTTTATAATTTTGTTGGTTTGGTCTGTGGTGCGTCTTACTTTCCTCTTTTCTCCTCGCTTGCTTTTTACTCTGGACTGGAGGCACAACAACGTGATGGAAGGAGCCCGCCAGAATCGAAACCTCAATCACATGCATCGGATTTGAAGTTTTAAGTTCAAATGAAGGAGTTACTGTATATTGATTCCTTCTACCGCATTATTATTATTATTATGGTTTTAAAAAATAACTCGAAAATATTTTGAGATATTTATTGTTATAATTAAAACTATATTTTAAAATTTTGAGAAAAAAAAAAGAGGTGAAAATTTAGGTACTTTAAAAAACACTATTAAAAAGTAAAGCTTTGATGACACAATAAGATATCTTGAAAAAGTATGATTAATAATTTGAAGATATTGTGATTAATAGAAATAGCATTGTTGGTGTCAAAGGAATTGTGATTGTGACTGAGGGGTTGGGACTTGAGAGATGGAGGGAGAAGGAAAAAGGTGTTAAACGTACTGATTCTGATAAAGCAACACGAAACAAGGCAGTGTTGATTTGACAGAGACTCTCTCCCTCTCTCTCTCCCTGCACTGCGCAGCCAATTGTTCCGTCCGATAGGCGTAACCAATGAGGGTGAGTAGTGGGTCCCTGTTTTGTTATCCAACCCTTCACACTCTCATCATTCTTCCTTCCCTTTAGTTAGTTGCCCTTTACGAGGCCACATTCTTCACTTTCTTTTTTCTTTTCTTTTTAACTTCATTGCCTCTGTTCTCTGTATCGTATATATAGATACAAATTTTTAAAATAATAATTCAATTCAATATATAATAAAAGTCTAAAACTATTTAATTTAAAAACACGCCTTGTTTTAAAAAAAAAATTTAAAGAATAATTTATTTTTTCTCTTTTTATCCTTATAATTTTTTTTTTATTAAATTTTTTTTATACTTTTAGATATGGAGCGGAAGAAAATGGAAAAAACAGGAAAATGGTGTAGGAGAACCAAAAGGAATACGACAAAAATAGCGAAAGAGATTGGATGGAAACAGGGTAAGAAGGAATGCCATTCTTTATTTGATGTTATCGTCGAGGAATGTGTTCATTGTTTTCTGAAAAAAAAAATTTGTTAAGACACACTGTTGTTTCCCGTAATTGCATGTGATAAAAAAAAATGGGAATAACGTGAGTTATATTTTGTAAAGGGAAATGCAAAAATGTCTTTTCCTTGAGTAAAAGGTGTTTAAGAATGAGTTTAGTTTGATTTCAGGCCGAAGAAAATTGAAACTAATAAAAATAGTTTGACCATCCATTTATATATTTTTTTAAAAAAAACTATGAATAAGCTCATACCAGCTTGATTCTGTTTTAAATTTTTTTATATATAAACCACAAAAAAATTATGTGGAAATATTTCTATTTGAATTTATCAAAATCATTTTAAGTAATAGTTTTTTTAAAATATTTAATATAACTATATTTACTTGAACTTAAATTTAATAATTTTCAAGATACATTTATTTTAATTTGTAATATACTTTTCTATGTACAAATAAATATAAATTATAAAATTATATACTTCAAAATATTTAATTTATCATACACATGTACATGTGTAAATAATTATTTTTAAACATAAATATATTTTATTTATTTTATAATTAAATTTTAAAAAAATTATAATATATATGATTTTTATGCAATTTTAAAATTAAATTAAATATTTACTACTTTATTTTTTAAAGTGTATAATATTTATTCCATATATAAATAAAAAATAATTGTTAAAATATATGTCTGTAACATTTAAATATCTAACATCGAATTAATTAACAATTGAATGAATAAATTTTACTTTTTAAAACAGTTGCTTGTGTCGTGACATTAATTTATTAAATTTGATATTTTATTATAATTTAATTATGTCTCTCTCACACGTATTTGTACAATATATTTTAAAGTTAATTGACACTTTATTAAAATATTTTATATTAATGTACAATATAATTTTTAAAAATAAAAAATATTATTATGAAATTATATATTTAAAAAAATTTATGTTAATTGTGATATATCATACACAATTAACATGTTAATATCACATTATTTAATAGTTAATTTTGTTATGTTTATATTTTGTATAAATTATTAAATAAACTAATAATAATGGAAAAAATACCCTTAGAATAATTTGATATCGTATATGTTATGTGTGTAAAATGAGAGAGTTTAATTATTTTGTTTGGATACTTATCTCTTTTAATTAAAATGACATTAGATTGTTACTAAGCAACAATAAAAATACAATGAAAACAAAGAAGAAGAAACTTGAGTTAACTGGTTTAGATAACTCTTTTCATAGAAAACGGGGAAAGAAATCACGTTGATTGATTCAAAATATTGAAATTTGATGTGCAAAATGTTGTTGTAATAAAAACGACAAATCATTGTTTTTCTTCAAATTTATTTTTAAACACAAATCAAATTGAACTATTTTGAAATGTTTCGAATCAATATACTCTTAATCCCTAATGAAAGCCAAAATAAAGAAAATGAGAGTAAGAATAAGATAAGGATTTTGGAGAGGACCCTGTGAGGGATGGAATATAAAAAAGAAAAATGACTTTGTGAAATGGTGGGATTGTGTTTGTGCAAATTGACCAACAAACTTTACGTTTCGCCTGTCAGTGTTATTAGTGTGAGTGGTTTGGTATAAAACCATTTGTCAAATAGGATTGCTGTAATGCATTCTTATCAGTGTCAGTAAATTATTAATTATCTTTTTTTCAGGTGGGTTGGATTCCCAGAGCGTATCAAGAATAAGACATACCTCAACGTATGCTTGTATTAAAAGATTTAGGAGAAACTTTAAGTAATTTTTGTGTTATCTGTAGGAGAGATTTAAATTTTCATTTTAATCATTTTTAATGATACTAGGTATAAGTATCTTATTGATATTTTTAGAATACTGATTAAATATAAGAGTAGTTTTTTATTAAACAATATTATTAATATATTTTTTAATAATTTTTAAGTATATCTTGTCACGCAATATTTATTTTTTTAATCAATATTCTAATAACACATCAGCGAGCGAGATCCTTGGAAATCTTTTTGTCTTTATCAGCTTTGACAAAACTTGGCTTTCAAGCATATATATATATATAATTGACATAATTAACTGGCCTAAGTGCCTAACATTTATCATGAGGACTAACAAATGAGAAATTTATGGGTACTTTCTTTGAAGTAGGTTATGCCTGTACTTGAAAAGTAACGTCTGCATAATTTCCTCACTCCAACAAAACAAAATAATCAACTGGTTTTCGAAATGAAGTTTCTATTTTTCCATTTAGAGTATCATAATATTTTTTTTAATTATATATATATATATATATATATATATATATATATCACTTCTTAATAGTAACACAATGAAATGAGTTAGTCAACTTTTTAAAGAAATCAAAGTGACTAAAAATACACATTAATCAAATTAAAAGGAAAAAAAAATAATCAAGCATAGTAAGTACGTGTGTGTGGCAAATGAAAAAGTAAAAATTAGTTAGAGATGTGACCACAAGCCCAAAAACGCAATTTCTATTATGGGTCCTGCCTGAATCGTGATGAAACTGTTCTTGCGAAAAGCCTGTGCCACCCAAATATTATTGCATTTCAACACAAGCCATGTTAACTTTGCTTTTCATTTCAAATTTCCATTTAAAGCAAGTCTACAACCAATACTTATAGTACTGTTTTAAATACTATTATGACCATGTCACTTGGGAATGTTAGTGCTATCACGTGTTAATAGCCATAGAGTGAAGTCTATATGTACAAGAACGAGTCAAGCAAATAATAATAATAATCTGTCCTGTTACAGTTTTACAGCCAATCGGTATTCCTATGATAGATACAAATCAAACCAATACATAAGTGCCTACAATTACAATAATGTGTATCAAATTTTGTTAGTTTATATGTGCTTTTTACGTTACGATGACATAACCTTCATTTCATTAGAAAACGAAGATTGGTTAATTAAAAATGTTTAAATTGTTATTGACTCTACGAAAATGTCATGGATAAATAAAACGCTAATAATTACAAATCAACACTCAACAACGAGTATAAATGCACGAGTACTGTTAAGATATTTCCTTATAACAACACATTTTGAATTTCATAGCCTTGTGGATGGGGCAATGCGGTACTGTGTGGAGAGTGTCTGAAAGTGGTAACGTGGGAATCTCCACTCCCACAGACACAAAATCTTCATTGGAGTGCGTTTATTCTTCTTCCATTCCATGCTGTTGGTGTTGGAATTTGATTCCTTATCTTCCTTCCACAAGCCACAAATACATGCTTGTTTTTGCTCCTTGCCCTCTTGTTTGTTCAAAACTACAAAGCTTTAATTTACCATAGTACTTTGAATTGGGAAAAGCAAAAAGTGACCCACCCGTGCCGTGCCCCTCTCTCAGCTTTACTACTTTAACTCATGGTTCAACATTAGGACTAGAAACTTATCTTTTTACATTCATCTTGCTTTTGCATAGATAAATAAATGTCATCATTTATTCACATAGTAAATTTAAGCAAATGTTAACCATTTTTTAATACACCAGTTAAGAAATTAGAAATAATTTTATTAAAATATTGTTAATATATATCTAAAATAATGTTTACCATACCTCAGCATTATTTTTAATTTTTTTATTATTTTCCTTGTGACACCAAAAAAAAAAAGACTTGTAATTTTATATGATTTTAAATTTAATTTATAATATATTGAAAGTGTATGTCCGATCATATGCTATCATATAATTTAAAATTGTTAACTTCTATGATAATTAATTTTCTCGTTATATGTTAACGT